GATAGAGATAGAGGGGGCATGGGGTGAAGGCAGAGAGAGATGCATCCAAGGCTGAGAACACCAAGGAGGTGATGCAGTGCAGTGGTGGGAGCACAGATGCTGCACAACTTCTCTGTGCCTGTTTCCTCATCTCCAAAGTGGGGATGAAAATGACAATAGCAGGCACTTGAATAATGCTGGCCATTGTGTGTGTGTGTGTGTGATAGGTCTAGATGCTTCATGTGGCTGAATTCATTTACTTGTAACTGCTAGGAGTCAGGCACTATTGTTATGCCTGTTTTATAGATGGGGAAAAGTGTGTCTACTTTTATTGCTGTTGTGAAGATTACCTGACAAAATATATGTGAAGAACTTAGCATAGTGCTTGGGACAGAATAAAAGCTCAATAAATATTAGTCATCATTATTATTTATCATAATTATTATATAGAACTAATAATAGCTTTAGCTCTGCTTCTCCACTTGCTGCATGATCTTCAGGACATCTTTTCCCGTCTCTCAGCCTCACTTTCTCAAGCCAGAGGTTTGATGAGATGGCCTCTAAGTCTCCTTTAGCCCTAAGGTGTTAGAAATCTCTGATTGATACAGAAAAAAACAAGAAAAGATTACAAATACTTCCAAGTCTTCAGATTCTGCATTGACAGGTGTTTAGAAACATATAAATTTGATATTAAAACACCTTATTTTAAGGGCTTGGAATGTAGCACAGTGGTAAAGTGCTTGCCCAGTATGTACAAAGCCCTGGGATTGATCCTCAATACCACAAGAAAACAAAAACCAAGAAACCCCTGATTTTAAAAAAGGCTCATTCCCCTTGACCTGTTCATCAGATGTATGAATACATCTAAGGAAATAATCAGAGATGAGCACAAAGATTTGCACACCAGCATGCTCACTGCTTAGAGTCACCCCAAATTAGAAACAACCTGAGCATCCAACAACAGGGGATCTGTCATGCAAACCTCATACAGCAGACCAATAGATTTTGGGCAATCATTCAAAAAGCAGACTTTCAATCACTCTCAATGACATGGGGAAATGTTCCACAAATTAGGTTAAGTGAACCAACCAAGATCCAAAACCTTCCATGCATGCAGTGTTGCCTCAAATCTGTAATACCAGAAAAAGACAAGAAGGATACAGAATACAGCATTGAACAGAGATTGTCTTCAAATAATGCAGACTTAAAAAAATCAAATATTCTGGTGGGCATGCATTCCTTTTTCTTAAACCCACTTGGAAGATGTTTCTCTCTCTCCCTATTTTCTGTGTTAAGGAGCACTTTTCTTGATTTCCCATTGCCCTGTGTACGTGGAGAGCCTTCCTGTTTCTGCCAGCAACAGGCATAGACCCTGGACGCCTCTGTCAGCCAGGGTTGTGCTGTGCTGCTTTCTGGTGAGAAAAAGACAAATTTCCAAAAGCAAAAGAGAGCACTTGCCTTGTAGGAGAAGGAGCTCTCGATGCTCCCGCTCACTGGGGTGGCACTGCTGGTGGGTGGCAGCTGCTGCAGCCGCAGACCTGTGCCCTGGGCTCCATCCATTATGGTTTATAGGTGCATCCTGCCTGGTCTGATTGGAGCTGGAGCTGCTGCTAAGCGGGGCCCAAGTCAGCAGCCATCTGTCCTGGTGTTCACCTCCTTCCTTCACACCGATGGTACCTGAGGCTTCTTTAGCTGACTTACAGCCTTCTCAGCTTCTTGGAGAAGAGTTGACTTCCCAGTATCTTCCAGGCACAGGCACAGTGTCTCCTGATTCTTGCTGTGCTGTGGGGGTGGAGAGGAGCATTAATAATGCATGAAACACAGCCTGGCTTTGTGACCTGAGAGAAGGATGAGTACAAAGCCACCTGGCCATGAGAAGGGAGGCCATTTAGGACATTACATCATGCCTGTATCCCCTTAATAAAGAGATCACTGTCTACTGCAAAAGTTTCCCCCCAGCCCTTAGATACCCACTTTCCTCTCCTCCTCCCTTGCCTTTCTTCTAATTAAAACCCTCTTTTTTTTTTTGGCAGTACTGGAGTTTGAACTCAGGGCTTTGCACTTGGGCACTCTACTGCTTAAGCCAAGCCTCCAGCCCTAAATCCTCCTTTTTTTCCATAGGCTCTTCTCCAGGTCTCAAACAAAACAAAAATCATATGACCATCGAAAGTGAACCATCACTGGGCATGGTAATTCCAGCACTCAGGAGGAACAAGCAGTAGGATTCAGAGTGCAAGGACAGCCTGGGCTACATAGCAAGACCCTATCTGAAACTAAAAAGAAAAAAAGAACCATCTTTTTTAGGAGGGAATGAATGAGAGGAAAAGCTATCTCTATGGCAGATGGAAGAACCGCCTGCTCCCAGGTCAGCCTGGCACAGATGAGGTGAAATTGCACTGGGAGGTGGAAGATCTGTGTGACCAGATTGCTTTGCCTCTTAAAGACTCATATGACCTCATGATGGATGCAACAGCAATCATCCCAGTTAATTTCATTGGACTGACATTTTCAGTGTTTCTCAAACATTTCTCCCAGAGAAGAAACAGAAAATTTGCTCCTAGTGTTCATGACCGAGACCTACCATAGCACTAAAGGTTTCTTTGAAGTCTTCTTATACTTGATGTTCCTGTCCCACAGGGCAGTTGTGAGAATTTGATGAAACAAGCAGTGTAAAATGCATGCACAGCAAATGGTCAATGAGTGTCAGCTGTTACTACTGTAACTTATTCTCACCAGTTTAATCACTGAATTTACTGGGGCATATTCTCTCATGCATCCATCCAAGAAAGTTACTGAGTGCTCACAGACATCTCAACAGACACATTCTCTGCCATGCCCTAGGCTTCAGAAAGCTGCTTATCCCATAGCTTTTCCTTCCTTCTGCCATCTTGCTCTAGGCGGAGGAATTCTGGTTCCTTGTGTGACTCGCACAGCTTAAGTAATAGGCAAACAACACATTCAGCACCCAGAAGACATAGGTGCAGGTTTGGTACAGGAGCAACCATAAGGACCATTTGACTTAGGTCTCAGCCTTGTAATTAAATTATTGCTGTCTTCAGTTGAGACAGTATTTGTACATGAATATACTCACATATATAACTCACATTCCATGCCTTTCCTACTTGTTTAATTTTTTGGGGTGGCACTGGGGCTTGAACTCAGGGCCTCACGCTTGGTAGGCAGGTGCTCTACCGCTTCAGCCACTCTGCCAGCCCAACTTTCTTACTTGTGCAACCCTATGAAGATGGGTTTGCAAAATTTGGGGGAATGCATAATTGTTTTTCAGTAGACTTTAATGTGCATGTGAAAAGTGCAATTGTGTTAAATTTCGGTAGCCCTGTCTTGGCATTTTGAATATAATGTCAGTCTTAGAAAGGAAGAGTGGTTCAAAGCTCTACCTCTGAGAAGTCCAAGCTAGAGTTGAAGCTGTACTGTCTTGAAGATTCCAGCAGGATGTTTACTGAATTCCCTGTTCACTTACTCCCACCTGAGTTCTAGCACAGAGTCTAGGAAAGTGACTCTTGGACACCTGCACTACTTACTAAATGTAGGCCTGTTGAGCACTCGGGAGCTGTGGTCACTTCTGATTTTGCCTTACTCAGACCTAATCAACCACAACTCTGGAATGACAACAAAGGTAACGACCAGCTCCACTCACAGGATGTGAGTGAAAGCAAAGTAGGCCTACAGGACCTGCTAAGGGGGTGGCAGGAATCCAGGCCTCCCAACCTCCTTGAGGCCAGCTGGTTTTCTAGTTTTGTTTTTGTTTGCCTTCGTTTAGTTGGCTTTTAAACAGCAGCTTCCTTCTCTAACTCAGGAGCCCCTACTCTCTGATGCATCTCCTAGAAAGACAGAGGCAGCTCTCCCTGGGCTGGGGAGAAGTTTGGACTGCAGGCCTCAGTGGAACTCTTTGCAAGCTGTGCTCCCTTATAAGGCTCACACGCTGCCTGCTCACTCTCTTTTCCTGGTTTCAAAGCACTTTTCCAGAACTAACATGTATGTCCAAGAAGCAAGCAGCCAACTTTGTGTTGCCAGTTCCAGATCATGGTCATGACCCAGAAAAGGGAAGCCAATTTGAAAGGTGCAACTTGCTTCCACCTCCCCGCCCCCAGCCCTTTTCTCAATTAATTATTTCGCCAGTCCCCACAGAGCAGGTTTTACAGAGGAAAGAACCTTGGCTTGTGGCAGCTAAGAGAAGGACGTGTTTAGAAATTGGCTCTGGCTGAACACATAAATAAAACACCATCTTTCCCACCACCTGACGATTCAGCTTCTGGCTGGTGAGTGTCAGTTACACGCCAAGCTTCCCCTTTCCCGGATTTTGGCTGCCTAAGGGGTTACCCTCTTCGGTTCCCTCTCATTAAGCTGGGAACTCTGAGACTTGGGGAAAGAGCACCTCAGTTCCAGCAGCCAGCCATGCCTCCCTTCAGCCCAGAGCCGGCGTGTGGAGGACTCGTTTTTGGCAGGCTCTGCCTTTCACTTCTTGATTTGGTAAAGCCCGGCATCACCTTTCTTAAGGCAAGCCTCTGTCTTCTCTCCTTGCTTCTCCCCTTCATTAATTCTGAGGCGACAGGACCCAAACTGACAAGGCTGCCGGCAGCAATTTGGGGTGGGGGGGCATTAGATGATTACAAATGCATTGCTTTTCCTGAAACTCTAAGGCTGGATTCAAGTCCCCTTTTCCCCGTCTTAACCATGACTCACCGGCGGCGTTTCCTCTTAGGTCCACCTATCAGAGGGTTCTGAGAAAAGACTTGGACTCTTTGAGCAACCCGGAGGCACAGCCTCCTTGATTCCTTCCCAACTCAGAGCTGCCAGGGTGCAGCAGTGTTTTGCTTTCCAAGGTCGAGATTTGATTGGCCTAACCTTCCGCCAGTCAAAAGATGGCGGGGAGCTCGCGCAGCCGAGTGGCTGCCAGGAGGGGATGGGCGGGATATCCTGCGATATTGGGTGTGCCAGGAAGCTTGCTTGAAGCGCAAGGCAGTCACCTGGGAGCGCATACCGTAGCCTGGCGTCCACCTCGAGTGGTCCCCTCTAGCGGCCACAGGAAGAACGTTGGCGCATCCCTGCTCCGGCCTTTTCCAGTTGTCGGGATGAACTCAGGTGATCGCTCACCTCAACCTGCCCGACAGGTGGGCCTGACAGGTGTCTTCCCTTCTTATCCTCACAGCCTCCTGCAAGGGCTGTGCTAGTGCCGTTTCCGTACTCCACGTTCCCACCAGGTATTCAAATCCCAAACGTCCTTCAAGACCCAGCTCCCCCCCTCGCACCTGTCCTTTCCTGTCCCCCTGTCCCACCTGTTGGCTGTGCTCGATACCAACCCTCCCAGTATGTCCGCAGCTCAGCAGTACTGAGGACCGAACACCTGACTGCTGACAGCTGTAATAATTAACGTATGCACGGAGTTTTACAGAAGGCGAGAAGCTTTCATCACATACATCTTCGTGCACACGCTTTTCGGTTGCGATCCTCACAGCAGCCTCTGAGTGAGACATTGACATCATGCCCGTTTTGCAGGCGAAGAAATGGCATTTGGAGAGGCATCAACGCCGAGGAATAGCGATTATGGGTTCAGATGTGGAGCAGGGAGGGATCACTTGAGAGACGAAGGACTTGGCATATTGTAGGGACTGCCCGAGGGCCGGCGGGGCTGGCGCGAAGTATTTGGGGCGTGGGTGGTAGGAACTGCGATCAGAGGAACGCACCAGGGAGAGTTTATAGTAAGATGTTCGGATTTCGTCCTAAATTTGAAGGGAGCTTTTGGCGGCGTAAACAGGGGGTGACAAGAGCACTGTGATTGCTCTGAAATGTGCGAGGAGGTCTCTTGAAATACTGCTTATCCAATCCTTTTTGCTCCCATAGACGGGGTTTGGATGACTGTTAATTCTCTTAGGTTTATTCCTTGAAGTAGGATTTTTGAGTGAGCAAAATTCTAAAGCTTTTAGTTTACCCCAATTTTTTTTTTGAGGAGTGATCTAGGTAAAACACCTCCTAGAGTAATTAACCCGAACCCTACAATTCTGCTCGTTTCCCTGCGGATTTTGAAAGGGCTCTAATGACTTGGTCAATAACTTTTCACGCTAAAGAAACAGGACACTATTGGCTAGCGGCGCTGGTGGACTCCAGAATGTTAGGCCTGAAGTTGCCACAGCAACAGGCAGGTTGGATCCGTCACTTTGAGCCCCCAACAGACTAGGTAGGAGCCAGCTCCGGTTGGGGGCCGGTCCCTGAGGTCGTGAGGAGAAGGCCACAGTGCACCCCATGGGACGCCTGCTGGGACCTCCGGGTGCGTGCGGAATCCCGTGCCTAGCTGGGTGGGATCCCCGAGGGCAGGAAGGTGCCCCTTGCTGGGGAGATGTGGGGGGACGGGGCGGGGGGAATGTCCTCAGCGTCACCACCTGACAAGTGATAATAACCACGTCGTGCCGTCTCCACCGAGGCCTTGTGATGGCCTGGGCATCTGACTCCCCCTGCCGCAGCCTTTGCCTTTGGGGTTCTAGGGCCTTGCAGTGGGGGGCCACCAAGAGCTGAGCTCCAATCCCAGGTCCATCCAGCTCATTGGGCCTCCCTCAGCAAAAGTGTTCTGTGTCTGGGCCTCGATTTGCCCATCTGTGAAATGAAAGGGTGAGACTGGACTCTCGGGTGTCTGGCCTTCCAGCAGTCTGACATGCTTTCTCTGAAAGAAAAATACGCAGTGGGTTATTTACCCGAGAATGCTTTGAAAACTAGGAAATGCTTCCAAGATGCTTGATAGCATTATAACTAAATCAATAAAAATCACTTGTAGTCAAAACTACTTATGCAAATTCCACATAAAGTAATAGTGTATCTGGTTTAGTATATACTGTACAGTAATATGTACAAATGCTTAAGGTAGATGAGCATATTCTAGTATAAATGTATGATATATGGCAATACTCTAGCCTATATAATAATGGTTTTGGAGTCATAAATTAAATGCTTTAGGATCTATCTCTGGGAAGATCATAGATAAAGTAATAACTACGGGAAATGATGTTAGGTAGGGGGAAGTGCTTTCAAAAAATAATGCAGGGTAAGGTACTAGAGATAGATGGAGTGATATTTCTTAAGAGAGGGTGGTCATTACTAAAACCTGTGGTTTGAGTAGAGACCTAGATGAAACTGGTGACAAGACCAGAGGACACTATTTGGTGTAGTGAGGAGAAGGAAACTCCAGGCTACGAGGTGGGAGATAATTGCAGAAGCCAAAGAGGTTCCATGTGGAGAACAGGATAGGTCTTTAAGTGGTGGGATATGACAACTGCCTCCAAAAAGAACAGTTATATAAAACAGTGGCTTTCAAACATTTTTACCATGACTTATGGTAAGAAAGGTATATATGGATATATCTATATCTATATCTGTATATCTTATCTATATCTCTCTATATATGGCAGTACTGGGGTTTGAACTCAGGGTAGGTACTCTACCACTTGAGCAATGCCCCCACTTTCTCTCTCTCTCTCTCTTTTTTTTTTTTTTTTGCTTTAGTTTTTTTGGATAGGATCTCCCATTTTTGCCTAAGGCTGGCTTCAGACCTTGATCATCCTACCTAAGCCTCTCATACAGCTGACATCACAGGTATGCAGTGACACACATGCCTTGTTTGCTGAGATGGAGTCTTTTTTTTTTTTTTTTTCATTTTTCTTTTATTATTCATATGTGCATACAAGGCTTGGTTTATTTCTCCCCCCTGCCCCCACCCCCTCCCTTACCACCCACTCCACCCCCTCCCGCTCCCCCCCTCAATACCCAGCAGAAACTATTTTGCCCTTATCTCTAATTTTGTTGTAGAGAGAGTATAAGCAATAATAGGAAGGAACAAGGGGTTTTGCTGGTTGAGATTAGGATAGCTATACGAGATGGAGTCTTAATAACTTTTTCCCTTAGGGCCAGCCTCAAACCACAATCCTCCCAATCTTTACCTCTTGAGTGGCTGGGATTACAGACATGAGCCACCACACCTGGCCAAGAGATGGGTTTTCTATTGTGTCTCAACACACGTGTACACAAACATTTTGCAAAAAACTGAACTGTGGCTTAAAATTTTGAAAATCACCAATACAGGAGAAGAGTTAGACTTATTTGGAGTTGGTTTCAAGGGTTAGAATTAGGATGGGTGGAAAAAAGGAGAGAGGATCAACTTTTGTTCATGAAAGAACTTTCTAGCAATTACAACTGCCCAACAGTGAACTGCCTCAGAAATTCTAAACTGTATTTTGGGGAACTTTAGCATTCTATGAAAACTCAATACAGTCTCAAACATTTGCTTTATATTTTGAAAACTGTATGCAATATCCTAGCTTTTGAAAACCAACCACCCACTCATGGGTGGCAAATATCAAAATTTAGCACATTGACACTTTCATATGCTCCATCAGAGGTTTTCACAGAGGTTAAGAGTAAGCAGTAGCCCAACTTCCTGGGTTCAAAGCCCTGTTCCACCTTCTGATGTGACCTTGGGTGAGTCACCTATCCCCTCTGTCTAAACTTCAGCTGTCTCATTTAGAAAAATACTTCACTGACTTAGGATAAGGATAGCATGAAGTATTCTATATAAGACATTTAGGACTACACGGGCTCAATAAGTGATAGCTATAATTTTAAGTCATTAATATAATATCTGTGTGCATATTAAAATCTAATATTAAGAGCTGATGGAGTGGCTCAAGTGGTAAATGCACCTGCCTAGCAAGTGTGAAGTCCTGAGTTCAAACCCCAGTGCTGCAAAAAAAATATCCAATATTAATAAAAGCTTCCTGCGGGCCAGGCAGCATGAACTACTTCATGTGGATCACCGTGTTGATCCTACAAGTATCCTGAGTGGAAGTTACTTATCATTTCCAGTTTATGGAGGAAGAAATGAGCCCAAGAGTTTAAAGGACTCACCCAAATCAGAGCTAGTTCACAGGCATAACCTTGAATCTAGAACTGGATGCTCTTCACTGTTGCACTGGCCCCCACCTGGGAATTGCTTAAACATATGATATTGATTAGGAAGATGGTGTGTCTACACTACTCTGTGTGTGTGTGCGTATGTGTGCTACTAGGGTTTGAGCTCAGAGGTGTCCAAGTGAGTGCACAGTCAGGTACACCTGGGCCGTCCTCCATTCATACCTTGGCTTCACCTGCTCTCTTCTCGACTTCACAGATATGCAGTAGAAGACGGGAAGTCATGCTTAAGGTGTTATTTTTTGGTGCAGGATTATGGATTGTTTAAAAGTTTGTTTCTTATATTTTCTAAAATTTTGACAATTTGCATACATTATTATTATAATGAGAAACTTTTTTTTTTTAGTTCTGAGGGTTGAACCCAGGGCCTTGCACATGATAGGCAAGTGCTCTACCACTGAGCTACATTCCCAGCATGAGAAGCTTAATTTTTTTTTTAATCACCTATAGTTCTAGAATGTTAGAACATTTAAAAAGTAACAGCTTTATTGAGGGAAAGGGAGTGGGTGACTCTTACTAAAACACCAACACAGCACTGAAGGGAGCAAGTGACTAATGGCTCCTTTTGTAGACACTTAAGGACCCTGTTATTCTGGAGTGGTGATTTAAATCTTTTATTTATTTATTTGTTTTTAGTGGCACTGGGGCTTGAACTCAGGGCCTCATGTTTGCTAGGCAGGTGCTCCTACTGCTTGAGCCACTCCACTAGTCCTAATCTCTTGATTTCTTGGAAGGTCTTGCCAAAGATTCTACTAAATATTAAAATTTTAGTCTAGATTATAAAGGAAAGGTTGAGAATTTTTGCTGTCAGGGTGACAGAATAAAGGAAGGAACAAATACTGAAGGGGGAAAGGTCTATCAGGGCATAAAATCCTTTATTCAATCCTTTATTCATTAGTATTTATAAATGCTGTAAGTTCCTCAGGGAAGAAGTGGGCCAAAGTAACCCCAAATCTGCTCATGACAAATTAATTGCTATGGAAATAAAACTGTGCTTGTGCTGTTGACAACTAAAGAATAGAAAAATATGTTAAACAACTCTTTTAGATACTGGACACCAGCCAGTGCAGCACTGCAATCCCTGGGGGGAAAAACCAAGTTGAGTCCTACAGTTACTCCCCCCCCAATCAGTTCTGGGGGAAGCTTCCAGACCACATTGCAGGGAGGAGGAGAATTGAGTCAAATTCTGTATTTCTGAGTTGAGGAGTGCTATAGTTTGTGTCTTAAATGTCTCCCAAAGGCCCAGGTATTGAAGGCTTGGTCCCCAGTCTGTGGCCCTATTTGAGAGGTGGTGGAACCTTTAGAAGGTGGGGCACTTAGTGAGAGGACATTAGCTCACTGGGGAAGTGATCCTTGTAGGGTCCCCACTGGGATCCTACCTCCTTCCTGTTTCTCTTTGCTTCTGACTACTGTGAGATGAGTAGCCTCCTCCACCATGTGCTCCTGCCATGATAGACTGTGCTGACACACAAGTGACCACAGACTGAATGAAACCTCTGAAAATGTGAGCCAAAATTAATCTTTCAGATATTGTCACAGTGATAGAAAGCCAACTAACCCACAGAGACAGAGATCAGGGAGTTCATGGAGGCCAAAGAATCTAGAACTTGTGATCTAGAATACCAGAGAAGGGAGCTGCCCAGAAGAAGTTGAGGAATTTGAAGAGAGGTCTCGTCAAGTCTTTGATAAATCGTGATCTGCCCATGTACGAGAAGAAACTAAGCCTACTGCTTTCTGGGGTTACACAGAACTGGTAATATTTCATGTTCCCATAAGCCAGAACGAAGAGACTGTGTTAGACAGGGGTGGGGTGGAGTGCACGGAAGTGCCAGCCTCAGTAGTGGGAATGAGTTATTCCCAGAGGCTGGATGCCAGTGCTCATCCCTGTAATCCCAGCTACTCAGGAGCCAGAAATTAGGAGGATCAAGGTCCAGGCCAGCCCAAGCAAAAAAATGAGAGACCCTACCTGAAAAATAACAAAAAGCAAAAGAGGCTGGAGTGCAGTAGAGCACCTGCCTGGCAAGCATGAGTTCCTAAATTCAAATACCAGTACCGCCAGAAAGAAACCTAGTCTCAGAATAAAAGTTGCTCTGCATCTTTCAAAGTTTGACAGCACTCAAGAATGTAAATTTCATAATGTCTAGTGTCCAATACAAAAAGCTACAGGAAAATGTGACGTTTATCCAAAAGAATAATCAATCAAGAGAGCAGTCTCAAATGACAGAAAGGATCTTAAAACAGCAACTATAACTCTCACACATATGCTCGGGGATGGAAAGCATGAATCTCAGAAGGCTAGAAGTGGGAATTTTTTAAAGGACTCTAATGCAGATTGTAGGAAGGAAAAATGCATTCATTAAAATAAAAATACAATTGATGGGACTCACATCAGATCAGACACTATGGAAAATTAGTGAGCCTGGAGACATAACAACATAGGCTAACTAAACGAAGCACTGATGAAAAAGTCAAAAGTTGCCTTGAGGAAAATATCAGGTGATCTAATGTACATATAACTGTACCCCAGGAAAAGGTAGAGAAAATATTTGAAAAATAATACTGAATATTTTCCAAATTTGATGAAAGCTATAAACCCACAGATCCAGGAAGTCAAATCCCAAACATTAAATTGTGCCAAAGCATCACAGAAATAGAAGGTAGCATGGTGTTGCCAGGGGCTGGGGTGGGTGGGTGGAGAAACATGGAGGACATAACTTATTGTAGAAAATACCATATTGTTCAATGGGTGTAGTTTCAGTTTTGCAAGATGGAAAGATTTATAGAGATAAATGGTGTTGATAGTTGCAGAACACTGTGAATGTATTGAGTTCTGCTGAATTGTACACTTAGAAATATTGAATAATTAAAATAATTTTAAAAATCTAAAAAATAAAGGTGAAGATGTTAATTTTTATGCTTGCGTATTTTACACAATAAAAAGTTGGAAAGGATTAGGTTTCTGAATAAGTGATAAACAGAAAAGCTTAAAATTAATTGGATAAAAAAGAGACAATACAGGGGGGTGGGGGGAGGGGGGAGAAATGACCCAAACATTGTATGCACATTTGAATATAAATAAATAAATAAATAAATAAATAAATAAAAAGATACAGCTGTCTCAAAATAAAAGGGGAGGAAAAGGTGTAGTGTTAATAGTAAAAGAAAAAAAAAAAAAAAAGGTTGGATGCTGGTGCCAGTGGCTCACACCTGTAATCCTACCTACTCAGGAGGCAGAGATCAGAAGGATCACAGTTTGAAGCCAGCCCTGGCTAAATAGTTTGCAAGACCCTATCTCAAAAAACCTTTCACAGAAAAGGGCTGGTGGAGTGGCTCAAGGTGAAGGTCCTGAGTTCAAGCCCCAGTACCATAAAAAAGAAGGCTGGAGTGGCTATATCAATTATCAGAAAAAATAGACTTCAGAACAAGGAATATTGCCAGGGATAGAGAGGGGTATTTCATTAATAATAAAGGGGTCATCTTGCCAAAAATCATAAGAATCATAAATGTGCATACACCTATCAACAGTGCTTCAGTATACATGGAACAAAAGCTGACAAAACCTTAAAATGACTTACACGCATAAAAAAAGCTTGACGAAACTTAAAAGAGAAATAAATTCACATATAAATCTCTCTCTGTATTGACAAAATAAATAAACAGAAATAAATTGGTAAGGATGTAAAAGACTTGAATAGTACTATTACCCAATTTGACTTACTTGACATTTATAAAAAATGCCATCCAATAACATAAGAAAAAACCTGAAATCAATTAACAGGAAGCTATCTGGAAAATCCTCCTGAGTACTCAGAAATTAAATAGTAGACTTCCAAATTTCAAAAAGAAATTACAAGTGAAAGTGAAAGCTATTTTAGATTGAAAGAAAAGTGAAAACATCAAAATATATGAGATGTCATTAAAACAGTATTTAAACATTTAAAACATTAAACATTTTCTTACTTTTATTTTATTTTATTTTTTTTGCAGTACTGGGGGCCTCACGCTTGCTGGCCAGGTGCTCTACCACTTGAGCTATACCTCCAACCCTTTTTGCCTTAATTATTTTTCAAGTAGGGTTTCGTGATTTTTTACCCACACTGGTCACAGACCTTGATCCTTCTGCTCTCCATCTCCTGAGTAGCTTGGATTACAGACATAATTTTCTTATTTATACTATGAAACAAGAAAAATCTAAGTTTAGAGGCTTAAACTTCCATCAAAAATACTAGCAAAAGAAGAGCAATTGAAATCCAAATGAGAAAGGAGATAAGAAGTCAATAAGACAGAAAACAAAATAGAGAAAAATGAATGAAACCACATGAAAAATGCTGTTTTCATTTGAAAAGATCAATACACTGGCCAAACTTATTTAATGTTGATAGACTGAATGCCTTCCTACTCAAGCCAGTAAGAAGATAAAGATAGCCACTATCACCATTTCATTCACTATTGTACTAGATGCTCCATCCACTGCAATATTACAAGAAAAAAAAAACAGGTTTACAAATTGAAGGAGAAGAAAGAAAACTCTTTATTTACACATACATATTATATATATGTATATATATTATATATGTATAAATTCCTAATCTGCAAAAAAAATTAGAACTAAGAAATGAGTTTAGCATGGTTGCAGAATATAAAGTCAGTATATGCAAATCACTTTTATTTCTGTATTCCAGCAATAAGCAATTAGAAATTGAATTTTTGTAAAATTCCATTCTTATGACATAAAAATATGAAATACCTAGGTCTCAATTTAGGAAAACCTGTGCATTGAGATTAAGTGCAAAATATTGTATCTAACACAATCGCAAACATTTGCAAAACATAGAATTGTCCACTTAACTCTGATGGATTTTATTGTATGTAAATTCTATCTCAGTAAAGCTAAATTTACAAAATGAAAATAAAATTCAAAGCTTCAGTAACTCTGTAAGCAACAGCCACAAGGGACTCTTGCAGTTTTTACTGCAGGTAGCACTGTGTGCTTGGGACCTGGGGCTGAGGGTGGTGGCATGGTCACAGAATTTGGTGGCTGTCAGCCTTTCCCCACAAAATAACCACAGTAACCGCAGTGTGAGATATCTCCTGAAGACACAGTGCCTTGCTGTTTCAGGTGCTTGGAAGAACACGTAGCAGAAATGTTCCTGAAACAAATGATAGAACTTTGCTGACATGGACAGCTCCACTCGGAAAAATGAACGCCGTGCCAAACACCCCAGAGGCGCCATACAGAAAGGTTGGGTCCCTGCTGGAAGGAGGGCGCTCCTGGCATGTTCCCCTGGTACTGAGAGTGTGAACGCAGGGAGTCCTGGCTTGTGTCCGCAAGGCCATCCTTGGGGCCTACCAGGGATTGCCTTAGGCCCTGCCACCCCAGGAAAGGATGAGAGGGAAAAGCAGACTGGTTGTTTCCACGTATTTGGCAAGAATCACAGCCCTCAATTTTAAATGAAGACATCTTACCTTCTTTATTCCCTAGACACAAGTTCTGACCGCAGCCCCCATTCTTTGAGCTTACTTCTGCATAAGTTGTAGTTAAAGTCTGTTTGTTAAAGGGCCACAACACATTTTTTATTTTTGCTTTTAATAGTCAATTATTTTTAAAGTGATGTACATTTTGTGTTTGTATTCAAATTTATCAACTTATATTCATAATTTCACATTTTATATGTACCCAAATATTTCCAGAGCTCTTCATTCCTTTAGATACCAGATTTCCATCTGGTACCATTTTTTTCTGCCTGAGGGAACTCCTTTAATATTTCCTGTCGGTCCACAGTTTGCCCTTGATTAATTCTTTCTCAATTATTATACATTAAATTTGTTTTATTCTGCTTTTGTTTTTGAAAATGATTTTACTGGTACAGGTTTCTAGGGTGACAGATTTTTTTTCCTTCATTACCTTAAAGATGTTTCCAACAGTAACCTGCTGTCATTCTTGTCATAGTTGAGTCTTTGCATGTAACGTGTTTTTTACTGCCTGATTTTAAGGTTTTCTATCACTTTAAAAAAGTTTGATTGTAACGTGCCTTCATTCTTCATGTTTGTTGGCTTGACGTTCATTGACTTTCTTAAATCTATGAGCCTGTGGTTTTTTAGCAAATGTGGAAAAATTTCAACCACGTTTTCCTTGAAGTATTTTTTTCTAGCTCTCCTCTCCCCGTACAGCCTGCCCTCTAGATCTGCAGGATCTGTACCTGAAGAGTCACCCAACTAGGGCTCAAAAGAAGTTCGGAAGATAATGTGCCCCTATTGAACATGTAGACTTTTTCTCTTGTCATCATTCCCTAACCAGTGCGGTGTCAGAAGCATTTACATTGTGTTAGGCATTCCAAGTGATCTGGAGATGACTTGAAGGATGTGTGTAGGTTGCAGGTAAATACTATACCTTTTTTTTGTTTTGGGTGGTACTGGGGTTTGTACTTAGGGCTTCAGGTTCATGAGGCAGGAACTTCACTGCTTGAGTCATGCCTCCCACCATTTTTGCTCTGGTTATTTTGGAGATAGGGTCATATTTTTTTGCCCAGTCCAGCCTGGTCTATGATCCTCCTACTTATGTTTCCTGTTGTGGCTAGGATGACAGACATATACCACCATGTTCAGCTTTTTTCCATTGAGATGGGGTCTCACTGACATTTTTGCCCAGGCTGGCCTGGAACCTTGGTCCTCTAGATCTCAGCCTCCCAAGTAGCTGGGATGACAGGTGTGCTGCTAGTGCCCAGCTACCATTTTATATAAGGGACTTGGGAACCCAAAGATTTTTGTATCCAGGGAGTCCTGGAACAATCTCCTTGGTGAATACTGATGGACAACCAAATTTCCTTTTCGGAGGGTCTGATTACCTGTATATCAGGCTTCACTTTGCTCTGTATTTTTCAGTTTCTTCTCTGTTATATTTTCAGTAGTTTCCATGTATGTATCTTCAAGGTCATTCATTTTTTTCCTGTAGCATCTAATCTGCTGTCAGTCTTGTCTAGTGTATTTAAAATCTCAGACATCTTCCTTTTCACAGCTACAACTTTGATTTGGATTTTTTTAAAAAATTTTTTTGGCAATACTGGGGTTTGAACTCAAGGCTTCACTTTTGCTAGGCAGGTGCTCAAACACGAGCCGCTCCATGAGCCCTGAATCTTTTAAAAAATAGTTTCTATGCCTCTACTTAATATGGTCAGTCGTTCTTTCCCCAGCTTCTACGTGGACTAGGTAGCGTAATGTTGAAATGAGTACTCTCGCTCATCAATTCTACTGTCTGTATCATTTCTCAGTTGGGTTTGATTGCGTTTATTGTCTTCGTTTTCAATTATAGTTTTCCTTCTTTGCGTATCTGTTGCTTTTTTGTGGATGATAGAGTTTTGAGGGTTCCTTGGTTGGTGCTAATTTTAGTTCTCTACATCCTCTTGTGCTTTGCTCTTTTTCTGCTCTCAGTTAAATTCCTTGGGAATAGTTTGATCTCACCAGGTCTTACCTTTCTCACCCAACCCCGATAGGATTTTCGTCTGCATGAACCAATCTACTCAGTACACTGAGTGGGGAAGCTGGTGCCCATTTCATCATCCTCCATGTAGCGCTCTTTTCTTCTCTGCTCTGTGGACTCTGGCCATCCTGAACTTTCTGGACTCCCAGTCCATTTCTTTAACTCAGAAAGATGGTGGGCTCCCCCTAGACTCCTCCTTGCCCTGCTTTTCCCTGGCCATAAGCTGGGCAATCTCAATGCCAGCCTCTTTTCCTGCTCTCAGGGGTCCCCTTCTTCCTTGCCTCATGTCTGCTGTCCTCATTGTTTCAGATGTTTTGCTCATTAAAATTTGTTTTCCAGTTAGGAGGGTAAATTCAGCCCTGTTCTGGTGGAACGAGGCGTTCACTTATCCAGACAGTGTTTTCAAATCCTGTTTTCTGCTTATTCTCATGGCTACTCTGACACTGGCCACCTGTGCAGCAAGAGCCTTGGTCACCTTCTCAATTCAGGAGGGGCCTTGCCTCTCTTCTAATCCCCTTCTCTCCACTGCCTCCTCTGCAAACCCTCTTAGCTGTTCTCAGGATTTAGAAGTGAAAGCCATACAGCTGCTTCTGCTTTTTGATTTGTTAGATAACTCCCTTCAGTGAAAAATACACACAATCTACCTACTTAAATGAGGGAAAGAGGAATGAATACGCCACATATCCACCTCTCCACCTGTTTCCTACCTAAACATGTGTTCAGCTTCTTGTACTTGCTTCACCCTCAGCCCAGGCAAATTAGGCTAAAGTGGCCTTCTGTCCATCACTTCCTTCATTCGTTTATCGAGTGTTTCCTATGGGCTCAACTCAGGAAGAGGAGGCACAGCCTGGGTTCCTGAGAGCCACATCCAGCCATTCCACTTGTGGCTGTGTGATTTGGATCAGTGTCTTAATCCCCCTAAGCCTCAGTTTCCTCATCTGGAAAGCTGGTTCCTACTTGTACTCCTTGAGAGACCTCTATTGGCATTGGGCTTCCCTCTCTAAAAAGGAGTTTTGTTTTTTTAAAATTCAGAAATGGTCTTTAAACTTAGAAATGGTCCTTACGATGGTTTCCAAGTGAGCCATGCCCTAATGCTGCCTTCTGGAACCTCTTTCCTTTCTCCTAGCTGTCTTATACCACTCTCTGAGGATTAGGCTTGATGTTGAGATAATTTGGCTTATGGTTGCAAGCAGAGTCAGGATGTTCCCACTCAAAATTGGGGAAGATGTCAGGACCCATGAAGCTACTCTCACACTCAGGAGGATGTGAGAAGGTTTTCCAAATCTGGTCCAAAAATGGTTTGAAGAGCAGGAAAAGGAGGTTGCCTTGGGCATTCCTTGTGGTTAAGTGAGGTGTACTGGAGAGAAAGCAGGGGTTGCATGGTTTGAACGTCCAGCTGTCATTACCACAGGAGGGAACACAGGGGCCTTCAGGTCCCTTTGCCCAGTCAGGGGCAGAAGGGGAAGAGGGAGGGGTGAGGTGTAGGAGCTGTTGGCCACCACACATGCAAAAAATGGAGTCCGGCTCTGTTATACTCACAGGTAGAGTTTGTAACCAACCTGCTCCACAGATGGATGCTGCCTGCGGAGATGGCTTCCCAGATGAGGGCAGCAGGGGAGGGGGGTGGGGGTGGGAGTGGGAGTGGGGATATGCATGGAGTTGTACATCCCAACCCAGACATAAGATTTAAACCTGATTTTCTAGAAGTAACCCCCTCCTGCTTCTTGATGCCACGGTTGCTTAAAGTGGAAGTCTAAACTAGCAAGACCCAGCCCCACTGTAGGACTTCCCCTCCCCTCTGGATCTTCATGGTGCTTTGCTGAGTCTGACTTTGAGTCCAGGAGGAGTGAGGGTGCTGGCTCTGTGTCCTCCTGTCCTATCCTCCCTTTTCTCCTGGGACAGTCTGCTTCAGTACTTGTGTGACCACATCTGTCTCACTAGTGTGAGACTGGAGAGGGGAAACTCCCCTTCCCCATAACCAAAAGAGCAAGAAAAGGAAGTGGGTAATTCCTTTTAGAAAATCTGATTTCACTTCATCTCTTGTCAAAGGGCAAATTTTTCTTCCTCTCCATTGAAAATAAGACTTTAGTAGGCATCTCTGTGTTTTCTGCATCTTTGCTTCATTATTTTGTGCTGATTGTTACTTTATTTTTGTTGTTTAGGTTTTACTGCTGCATATCCAACACAATCCTCCATTCCTTATAGATTCCAAGTAATTCCAGCAATTCTGGAATCAGAGAAAAAAGGATTTAATAGTCAAGCCAAGAGATTTTACTATAAAAAGGTAAGCACGTTGTCTTAAAAGTTCTTTTCTTTCTGTCTGGCTTTTAGTCTCATCCGACAGACTGTTGTGTCTCTCTGTGAACAGTAGGGGGCAGTGTTGTCCCCTAGTGTCAGCCCTCCAACCAGTACACTCCAACCAGGTGTGCTGCCTGGATCCTAAGAACCAGTTTGAGGTTTTTTTTTGTTTGTTTGTTTTACTTCAGTGCTGGGGATGGAACCCAGGGTGTGGTCTGCACATACGAGATGCTTGAAAAGTGTAACAGGTGGAAGCAACCATGTCTGGACATGTGGTGTCAAATACATAGAACTGAACCAAAATATACTTTTTTTTTTGAGATAGGTTCTTGCTGTATAACTCAGGCTGGCCCCAAACATAAAATCCTCCTACTTCAGCCCCCTGAATGCTGGGATTGCAGGCCTGAACTACCATACCCAGCAGCCAAAAATACCTTTAAAAAATATATTTAAAAGTAAGAAAAGTATAAAAATCCTCTAAAGTCTATCAAATAGAAGGTAAAAATCCCCCACCTTAATCCTTACAAAGTGAGAGGAAATTGATTTTCTTCAAAAAAATCTAATAATTTTAGAATTATCTTTGTGATGAGGCCAGCCTTTTTTTTTTTCAAAAAACTTCCTTAAATAATGTTTTATTACTACTTCTATATTCCTGCATTCACACTCTTCCCTAAATCTCTGCCTGGGTTTTCCTCTCTGATCTAGAAAGTTCAGGTTGGTTCCTGGCTGGCCTTTAATTTGGAATTTCTGGGGGCCTGCCCTTCTCCCCTCTCACCAGCAGGGGGCGGAAGCAATTCGCAGTTGTCTTTAAAGTCAATTTTTAAAAAATTACTTTATTCATTTAATCAGGACCTTGAGAATATATTCCTTTGGCAGGGTGAGCATCGCAGTTACAACTTAGACAGAGGAGACTGGGGAGGGGTGTGGATCTAGGTTCTGAACACAGGTGAGGCATGACATAGTGGGGCCTTGGCAAGCCCTTCCACCCTCAGCATGATTCCTCTTTTATGAGCGAGAATGCAGAACTGAAGAATGTTTAAATCCCTACTTCTGGTATTTTAGGATTCTAAGAAGCAAACAATAAAGGATATAGTGTACACACACATTTTTTTAATTACTTGTAAATTTCTCCACGGATGATAAATGTTTGCCCAGGCATTTTCTCTCTTCTTTCTCTAAGTTCCTGTGTTTTTACTATTAGTCATTCTCCCATTTGCCAATTTAATGCTAATATATGGTCCATCTCCAGAGAACTCGCAGCCCGGTTTCCAATAAAACCAAAAGTAGCCAGCATTTACTAATCTCTACTAAGTGTCAAAGCACTTTTAGATTACATCTCTACTCAGAACAATGGGAAAAGGAAGGGTTTATTATCTTAATTTAGCAGAAGAGGAAAACTGAGGCTTAGGGAAGTGAAGTGACCCACCCACAGTCACACAGCAAAGGCTTTACCACACAAGAAGCTCTAAATAAATATTTGCTGAATCAACGTGGAAGGAATTAGACCTCAACCCAGGCCTAGCTCACTGCAAAGCCTCTTACTCTTTCCACATGGCGCCACACCTGCCTTCGTGGCCTGCAATGCCATAAATTTGATTGATGGTAGTCAGAGTGTTTCTGAAAGAGCCTTGGCCAACAGAACAAGCTCAAGGGAGGGCAAGGCCTGAGCTCTTCATGGAGACTTCATTCTGTGTGAGGAGTTCTGAAGACTCAGTTCCAGAAACAGGAAGTTGGCATTTAAAATACCATTTTTTCCAGAACATTCTCTATTGAAGAAGTCAAGGTAGCAGCTGTCAAAACAACAGGCAGTATCAACTACAGAGAGAAATGGCTCAGAAGTTTGGTTCTGCTGGGGTTGCCTTGGTCAGAAAATGTGAAAAGCTTTCATCTAAGTATCTGAAATCATTTTGTAAAGCAGTGTGGAATTTCATGGAAAGGGTGTGGGATCCACAGGTCTGGTTCCCTGCATTCTACTCTGTCTCCAGGCTGGGAGGCTTTTAACTTTCCGCATCTGAAACATAAAATTTGTATTACATAACTTTTCAGGTCTCCTGAAGTCATAGACACAGGAAAACAAATCCTTATTCCACATTCATTATTCTCATTTTTCCTGAGGGAAATGAGCACTGAAGAATTCAAGAGCTTGTTTGACATCACCCAATAATTTAGTGAGGCAATACAAATTAACAGCAGATTTCAAATCTCCTGTGCCTCACCGCCCTTCTTAAAACTTGAGCCACGTACACCCTGGGCCTGATCTCATACCTGGGCTGTCTCCTCGCCTCAGCACTGTGACCCACTTAACGCATGGGGAACATGGAGAACCAGTGCCCTCCGTGACCCACACTCACCTTCCCAGGCCAACTGCAAGGAGGCTTTGGGGCCTCCCTGCCAGCTCACATTCCCTTCAGGGGTCCAGCCACTGGGGACCTGGACCCCTCCCAGATCCCAGTGTCTCAACTGGCAACTTGGGTTACTCCAAGTGAAGTCTATTTTCCTGAACATTTTATGATCATTTATAAGTGTGCTGGAAGCTTTGCATTCATGAAGAGACATGCCTCTGTGTGACAGGGGACAGCCCTGTTGCCTGCTGGACATTTTCTTCCCACCTGCCTGTTTCTGTCCCCATTTCATTTTGGATTGTGGTCACTGTTCCCTAAGCTGTATAACTCTAAGGACACCACTTAGTGTCTTTGTATCTGTCTCCCCATCTTCAGAATGAAAGGTGTTAGACTGCACAGGGCTTTGCCAGGAATGACTGGTCCATAACCCTACATCCGATTCCCGCAGCTCCATGACCCACCCTACCAATGGTAAGCCAGTGATTAAATTGTGTGGAGATCACTCAGTAACTTGAGAAGACACTGGACGAAGGACTTCTTTCATTGTCAGGGACATTTAAATAAAAGGAGGCTCACTATGTGGAGCTCACCATGAACACAGGGTAATTGCCCCACGTGTGCCCTTGGCTGTGTGTCATTACCACAGGAGGATCTGCCCTGCCTTTCCACTCTGCTCGGCAACAGTTGGTACCCTCTTACCCCCTCCTAATGGTCTGGTAATGCCAAACACCAGAGCTGATGATAGGCAAGGTACCCCTCAAAGCCCTTGGCACTTACAGACTCAATTCTGTGAGCCAAGTCCCACTATCCCCACTTTCCAAAGACCAAAAGAGGGCTGGGCAGAGCCAGGATGCATCCAGCTGGCTGGAGCTCAGGTTCCCAGGTGCTGCTTCCCTGGTATCTCCCCTAGTGGGAGCAGCTCACCAGCCTTCTGACCCCCAACTGCCTTTTACTTATGATGATGGTGATGTGCCAATTTACCCACCACCCCCTGGGGCTCCAGGATAGCAGCAATTGCTATTTTTTTTCCAGACCCTCCCAAGCCCCTCAAAAGTGGGTCAAATGAATGTTCCTACACATTTCTCACAAGCCACAGGAACACAAGCATTCTTTATGCACAGTTTTTTTTATTGTACTGGGGATGGAACCCTCATGCATGCGAGGCAAGCTGAGCCACACCTCTGACCTGCATCACTGTACTTCTATCATCCCCTTCCTGGAACTCGTAAGTGACTGACAGGCTGTGCCCTTGTCCAGGCCCTACCACACAGCAGGCGTCAGTTGATGTCTGCTGAACTGAATCTTCACCCAAATCCCACTCAGGAGGATCAAGGGGCTGCTAAGATGCTGAAACCAGATTTAAGAAAGAGGAGGGCCCTGAAAACAAGGCCCACAGCTGCTCTCTGGACAGAATGGCTTTTCACCGATGCTTTGGAGACTCGAGTTTTGCCTCTGCTGTCTGATTGTGTTTCTGACCTAGAGAGGCCTGCAGTGGGAGTCATAGCCACCTCGCTTTCCCCACACCGCCCCTCTACCCGGAGGCCTAAAAAACCCCTATTTCAGGATACCAGCTCCTCAACAGAATTTTTTTTTTTTTTTGCTGACGCTCCCTCAGGGTTCCCAGGGTCCTTCCACTTCCAGCATTGCTCCCATCCCAACGATTTCTTCTCTCAATGCTGGGGATTGAGCCCAGGGCCACTCGCATGCCAGGCAAGTGCTCCTCTACTTGAGCCAAGCCCCTAGCCCTGAAGGTGGTACTTTCTTGTTTGAAGCATGGTTTAACCTTTACCTTTTCACCCATGGTGAGAGTTTTGAAAACTCTAGTACCAGCCCCAGCGTGTGGGGAGGGGCAAGCAGAGGCACCAAGGGCTCAGGAGGGGCAGGACAGGATGGGAGAAGGGCATCGTGTAAGGCCAGAGCTCAGAGTCTTAGACACAGAACCCTCCATGACAGCAGTTCAGGCAGAAGCTTGTCTGTGCCACAGGGAATGGTGTGAGCCAGGGAAAGGGGAGTTGCAGCTCAAATCTGCCGCTGCCTCCCTTGTCCCTCCCTGGGTGTCTCATGGAGGCCAGGAGCACAGGGAGAAAACTCCAGCTCTGGTTCCCTGCCTTGCCTCCTTGCAGGTCCACAGGTGACTCCCATCACTTCCAGGGTCACATTGACCTAAAGAAAAGCAGTCTAGCTTTGATGAAGTTACTCTGATGTGTGGACACCTAGTTCTGAGACCCTAAGACTAAAGCATGTGGAAAAGGAACTCTGTGTAAGGCAGGAACTCTGAAGTCCTGTATGTTTGCCCGTGGATTAACTGTGAATTAACCACAGGACAGGCTCTGTTTCCTTCTCAGGCCCGACCTTCTTCTGTTACACAGTCTAGGCCTTTAGCAAACTCCTCATTTGCATTTATCTGTGTGGGCCTGAGGATCACCAGCGAGCTGCCCCCAAAGCAGTCCAGGACTAGCTGGAACATCCTTGAAGAGTGAGAAGTAGATCTAGCGTGTCATTTAGCCAGAGATTCAACAGAGACTCCGTTTTCCAAGCCAGAAAACATTTGACAAACCAGTGATTTGATAAACACGAAAGAACTAATTGGATAGAATCTATGAAATCAGGGCAAAAACTCCCTGGAGTACTAAGTCCTTCCGCCCCACCCCCCAACCTGTGGAAACATCTGGGGTGGGGTGGTAAATGCCCTGTTTCTCCCTTCTCCTCCTCTTTGTCTCTCTCCCATCCTATCCCAAGGTCAGAGACACCCACTCAGGACTTTGATCCCTTAAATGAGCTCTCAAAGTGCATTTCAACCAATGTCACCTTGGGGTGGGGGTGGTGGAAGGATGGAACTACATGTGCCAGTCGCTCCTTGCTCAGTCCCACTCTGAAGGTCTTTGACTCCCATGGAAGGGTCCTGGCTCCATTGAGGCTGTTGTGGGCTATGCAAAGTGTGGCAACTGGGATGGTGACAGTGGCTGCCAGGCTCTGGCACTGCCCTACACCTTCACACACGTTCACTTATTTAATGGTCACTCTACAAGGCAGGCCTGGTCCAGCATCCCGCGCCAGGATCCATAGGTCCCTCAATACTAGTTCCTTTCTCCCTCCTCGCACCCATTTTGGCTCAAGCAAGAAACCAAGGGATAAATAAATCCACACCAATCCCAATCTGGATTCTTGTTCTCTGGGTCTGAGAAGCCTAAATGCGTCCTTGTCACAAACTACTAGTGACATGAACTGTTCCCCCACAAATGAGAGGCCTGGATTTTTATTGCCTACGAGAATAGTGATACCCTGACCCCTCTCAGTTGCAGGAGCCTGGATTTCCTCACAGAAACCACATAGGCATTGCATTGAGACCTGCGGGGGGCCAGTGAACCACCACTCCCGACCACAGGACACGCTCCCAGTTGTAGCTTCTGCCAATTACTGTGGTGTAAATACATCTATCCTCACCACTTTCAAGTGACCACTAGCAACATTGATTTTATTAACACTCCCCTCCCACCCCCCCCCAAGCTGCTGGCCTGCCCCAGTGTGCTGCTGCCCAGAGGACTGTCTTTGAACATTCATTAAGAGCAAACAGGTAGCGCTTCATTCCTGTAGGCTACGAGGTGACAGTCATCTTCCTATATGCCCTGGACGCTTGCCAGTTCGCAAGGTGGCAGAGTTAAAATGTGATTGAGGTGTCCAGTAGGGTTGTCAGATCTAGTGACTAAAAATACAAGATGCTCAGTTAAATTAGAATTCCAGATAGATAACTATTTCAGCATAAGTGTGTCCCAAGTATTTCTTGAGACATATTTATACTAAACCACTTACTTGCTGTTTACCCGATATTCTAATTTCCCTGGATGAAGCTTTGTGTGACAACCTTAGCTCCCTAGACATATACAAGTGCTTAGAAAATTCTTGTGACTGTGGCAGAGTTAAGCGTGTGACAGTAGACGAGGAGCTAGAGGTACGTGTTGTTGCTGTCTGCCGTTTAAACCTGGGAGAGTCACTCATACATTTCCTACAGCAGCTTTTCCTGAATCCAGGGACTCTAGGAACTCAATGGCATCCCAGAGCATGACACTAAATTTAGATTGACAGGAAAGGAAACTGAGATCCAAGCAGGTGACTCGCTTAAGTTCATGTAGCTAGTAGCAGCACAGAGATCCCGATTGATTCATAACCCAGTGGTGTTTTTTTTTTTTCTTATCTTGTACAATCTCACCTGAAAATTAATTTGGTTCTGTGGTTAAGAGGGTCAGGCATGGTAGTGCATGCCTGTAAACCCAGTTACTTAGAAGGCTACTCCTCTTGTTGTCTGTCCCATTGTTTCTGGCGGGCAGCTCTCCTTCTGCCCTCCAGAGACCATCATCACTATGGCACAGAATCAGCTACATTGCCCCCACTCACTGAATTTATAATTCTTTCATCCTATACAAGATTTGGAGTGGTTAGGAGTAGGCCCCAGGGCCAGCAGGGTGGTACACAAAGAAGCCTGCTAACCATTTGTGACCTTATTCCTTCAATATTCTGTGGTCCCATTGACCCAGTAAAGGCAATGGGGACAGAGAACAGAGGTAGCCAGGCTGCCTGGATTCAAATCTGGGGCTCACCCACGTCTCTGGGCTTCATATAAGAGTCCTTCAAGTGACTCTAATAACACCCCCACAGCCAAGGGCTAGGGGAGGAGTCAAGGAGATGGCATACACCAGGTTCAGCCATGTACAGCAGTGGGACTGTGGGCAAACTCATCCCATGGGACTGTGTGTCTCTGCCATGAACTGGTGATGATGGAAAGGAAACAAGCGCTGAAAGGTTCCTGGCATCACTTAGGACCCAGAAAACTCTTGAAACAGTGAGGCATCCTCATCATTTCACACCACTTGCTTGGCCAACTTCTGTCAACATTGTCCCCCTGGTAACAAGCATGGGAAGCCCAATTCGCTGCAGCAGCAGGAACAGCTCAGAAGTGGCCCTCTGCTGACCCCTCCCTGGCGCACCGCCTCCTTCAGCACTTGAGCCCAGGGGCTTGCCTCTTTGTCTGAGAGGCACAGCTGGCCTCCCTCGGGATGAAGCTTGTTGTTGTTTCATTTTGCTTTATAAACAGAAACACTCCCTGCTTTCTCAGAGGCTGAGAAGGAAGCTGAGTCAGGTGGGGTGTGGTCAACGTGAAATCCGTCACCCTTCCCTTACCATGGGCTTGGCCGGCCCAATCCATACCCACCAACATGCATGCCAGCCACATTTAGTATACCTGTTTATGCTCGTTTCCCCAGAGACACGAAAAGTCCACGGCGTTCTTCTGCAATGCCCTATGGCATTCCAGTGGAAAGAGCAGGGGCCCTGGGAGTCCTGGTCTGAGGTGGAGATGGGGGCCAGCTGGGAGATGGTTGTGCCTGTCCTGGAGGGTTACAGAGAGGCTTAGTGCTAATGGGTGTAAAGCTGGCGGGAAAGCACAATGAAGTTGCGTGTGTCCCCTTCTGCCACATCCTCTTTCCTTTCAGGATGATATCCCAGGTCCTGGGTTCTACAATGTCACCCACCAATCTCCAGTGTTCAACAATGTCTCATTGTCCAAGAAAGGAACAGGCACTTTTCCCTCAACGGTGAGCACCCTTCTCTTAAGTGAGGGTGGTGACTGGTCAGTAATTTCCTTCATTCATTACATAATCATATGTTGGCCATCTGGTCCTTTCTCTCCAAAGGCCAGTGGCTCTAATTAAGAGAGTAACCTCCTCCTTGGATTTCTTGCAGGTAAATTGGACCCCATGTCTTTTATTATTTTTTTCTACCATGATATGTTTGGGAAGTGAAGCTACGGGTCAGCCAGAAGCTGACCATCCTAACTACACCTGTCATCATTTAGTGGACTGGGCAGTGTCTTCCTGAGATTTTTAGGCATGACAGGAAAATATTACTATCACATATCTTGCTCTAAAATGATTTTTACTCTTGCTCAGTCTAACTGGATTGTCCAAATTATTGAGATGGAACCAAGACTGAAGCAGGCCTTAGATCTAAAATTTAGTGATCTTCTTTGAACCACATGGGACTTATATCTTTGTCGATATAAATCAAACAGCTTTATGAAGATGTGACAATGACCCGGACTAGTACTTGAGTACAAGCAATTCTTTTCTATTTTTTGTTTTGTTTTGTTTGTATGTGGAGTGGTACTAGGGATCAAACCCAGGGCCTCAAAAGCATGCGAGGCAAGTACTTACCACTGAGCAACACACTCAGCCTGATAGTCTTTTTTTCTTAAAAATATTTACAAATTGGCAAGGAAGGGGAAAAAGAGTCAAATTAAATCATGGCCAGCTGAGATAGAACAGTGAAAAAGAAAAGTCAGACTCTGATATTAAGATATTAATATTCATATAATAACATAATATTCTTGTCCTTTAAGGATTATTCCTGCATAGTTGTATTATTATGACTGACATTGGAACTGATTTTGTTTTTAACCAAATGACTATTTAACAAACACTGAAAATAGCCACCTCGTATTGGAAGTCAAGATGCAAACTGACCTTGGAGATATCTTGAGGTTGCACATGTCCCCAGTGACTTCACAGGACATTCCCCCCACCACACACACACTGCTGAAAAAAGACCCAAAGGCATTTGGCAAAAGAGGTGCCATCTCACGATGACCTGACACGGGAGATGAGTCTTTTAAGGCCTAATCCTGACTCAGCTGTGGAGTCTTGCTGTGACCTCAAGCACGTCACCCTTTAGTGTCCTAGTTGCCTCATAAGAATGGAGACTCCCTGGAGGCATGGGGCAAATTGCAGTGAGTGAAATAGTCTTTGAAATGGCAAGGCAATATAAACATGCAGAATGTTGGGGCTGCCACAACACTTCCTGCAGCACCTAGGTTTCTCTCTGAGAACTTCTCAAACAGAGGCACTGCCATTCTTTTAGTGCCAAGGAAGCCTAGATTGGAGCACATGATCAATGCCCTTCTAGGCTCCACCTGCAGCAGCTTTCCAAATGGCATGGCCAGACCAGTTGGAGGAGAAGTGGCCCGAGATGGCAGACACTGAGCTGTCCTCCCTTGGATGGCTCTGGGACTTTGGGTTTGTGTTTCTAACCACATTAGTTCCTGAGTCCTTGGGGGCCTTAAGTGGTTGACAAGACCTGGCAGGAGATCCCTACACCTTCCCTACTTCCTGTCTGACCCAGATGAGAATGCCATTTGTCCACTTCTCTTAGTGACTCTCACATTTAGCACCTTCTCCACTTCTGGATCCCAGTGTCAGGGACTTAAAACAGCCCTCATCAGAGAAGGATCACAATGGCCCAGAGGGGTGTGATTGAGGGTGAGGCTGACCAAGAAATTCTGTGGGCCTATAAATTTTAGAAACTTCCTCATGGCTGTTGGAACAACTACACCCAGTCTTTTAAGAAGATCTGTCATCTCTCTAAGTTCAACAGATACAAAGAACCTTATTACACTTCTAAATCTTTGCTCCAGCATTTTTCATAAGACTGAGTAGGAGTTTTGAGTGAGGCAGGTGGGTGGGGACTTTGGTGGTCTTTCTCTATGTGCATGGTGGTAGGAGTGGCTCTGGAGAAGTTAGCATGTGCCAGCCTGTGGCCAGACTGGAGACTGCAGGCCTGGCAGGTAAACCCAGGGAACAGAACATGAATGAGTGACTGTGACTTAGCTACACTCTGAAACAAATCCTATTACCATATCTTATGTATGGTCTCTACTTGGAAGCTTTTAGAATTTTTTTTTCCCAAAATGTAAAATTAACAGGTCTTTTAAGGCCAAAGAAAAGATTCCACGATGGAAAAGATTTGCTGTTACTCCAGGGCTGTGCCTCTTGATCCATTCTGCTTTGGCATAGAATGTTGACTGGTAGCACAGCTGAGAATGTTGGCTCACCACTTTACCATCAGAAGGGCAGTTTCCTCATCTGAAAAGTGGGGATAATTCAATGCAACAAAATAGACTCAGTGAACAATTGGGCAAAAAGCAAAAGCGATGCCTCTACAAGGCTGGGTGCCCTGGCTTCTGAGAACAGCCACAAATCCTTACAATCAGAAGGAGGCAGAACTGGGACTTGAACTCAGGTTTGGATCAGGATGGGGATACTCCTGCTTCTGGTGGAGCCTTGTCCATGTACCACAAGTAGTTCATAAACCAGGTCTGAGAATTATCAGCACTGAGCTCAGAGGGAAGAGGGGTGGGGGCCAGCACCTTCCCTCAGCTTCCCCCACTTTCCGTGCTTGTATAGTTACTGACCCTTGTCAAGGGACAAAACCCAGGGCGATGTTCTCAAGCTTCAAACCATAACATCATGGGAAGTGCTCTATTTTATCAGGCTCCAGCAGCAGCCTTGCTCTCCTAGCTAGAGTGATGTTATCGCCCAGTTTCAATGGCTTTTGTCCCTATTCATTTGGCAAACATTGATTCTGTTTGTCTTTAACTGAAAATAGTTCATCATGGTGTTGGTTGTGTTGAAGCAGGTTAAATACTGTAAGGTTTTATGGCAGTGTGATTTGGTGGGGATAGAGGAGTGGGGGGACATCCACTCTGTGCAGTCTTGTGCCTTTAAGATGTTTGAGGTGCACTTCTTGTTCAGACCATTCAACCTTAGAAAGAGATGTGATGTCTGCCTTGGAAGGGTGTGTTGGTCAGAGGAAGAGCCTAAGACGTCCCATCTCATAAAGCACAAACAGCTGATGAGTCAGGTGTAAGTGACAGGGAACAGGATTGGGTAGAAATGCACTTAGGGCAAAATTATTGCAGAAGATGAATAATTTGAGGTAGTTTACACAAGTTAACACAGGTCTGAACTTGCATTTTCCAAGAGCATATCCTCAAAGGCTGAGGTCCAGTCCTCACTGTTACCTGCTACCACCTAACCTTTCAGAAAATGCTTTTAGACCCGGTGCTGGCCACCATCCTTTAGACATCTGTCCTTCAGAGCCACACGATGACGTGACAATGCTGATTCCTTTGGCTTCCTCCTCACAGTCTGCCCGGTTGGGCGCCACCATTCCTAAGTATCCTGCAGCCAGCGCATACACTCTCCCATCAGAGTTCGTGTCCAAGAAAGACTTCAGTAACTCCTGTTCCAGTATGTTCCAGCTGCCAAGCTTCATGAAAGTGTTCAAGTATGAAACTCCTGCACCAAACCATTACAATGTGAGAACACGGAGCGTGCCTGCTAAACGTTACTGAATGAATGGCTGACTGAAGGAAAGGCAAGGGGGAACTTGGGAAGTTGCATTTGAATGCAACCGGTGAGTCAGTTAGCAATGGTGGAAGCCTAAGGCGAGGCAAGAATCTTGAAGGGGATTTGCGGAACTGAGGGATGAGTAGGCAACACGGAGGCCAGCCTGGAGCAGTGGGAGGACCTCCACCCTGAGAAACACTCGTTCTAAGCACCCCCTCCCTGACCTTTCAGGACAGTTTTATACCTCTAACAATGGGCATATTATTTCACACTTTATCTTCAGACACTCTTCATTTACTTTTTAGGTTCTTACGGGGAAAATCAACTTTGATCTTTCTATAACATAAAACAGTTGGTTTTTTTAAGCACAAGTTCTCTGTGAATTACGATGGTTTTGTTAATCACTGAGCAGAATGGTAAAGGAAGGTTTGGTTCACTCCCTAACTATGTGGCCTCTGTTATACTATCTCAGCCTTTTTAGGACTTAGTTTACTGATCTGTGAGATGGGGCTACATGTCTGCCTCGGAGTGTTGATGCATATGTTAGGTGAGATAGTCTAGGCTGAGTGCTTAACACAGCACCCGGTGCACAGGACTGCGTAGCAGTGGAGACTGGTCTTTGGGCAAGTCATGTTACCCTGAAGCCGTCACTGTAAAATGGAATTAATTATACGTGTCCTACAGGCTATTAGAAGAAGCCAATGAGAAACCAGCGTGAGAGTGCTCTGAAATGCAGAAGATGTGAAGTACACAGAAGATATTTATGTTACTGTCCCATGTTTCAAAGTTGGTCTTAGAACACTTCAATTTCCTGTTTTCTTTTGTAATATTTATAAATCTTTGTTTTTCCAAGTACAAAGATCCTGCCTACCTTCTGTGATTCAATCAGTTATAATGTGCTCAAAGGAATATAAATGTCTGCCAAGCCAATGTGGTTCAGTGGAAGAATAATGGGAGCCAGCTATATTTTTTCTAGTAGCCACATTTAAAAATTAAAAAAGAGGGACAGGCATGGTGGTCCATGCCTGTAATTTCAGCACTCTGGAGGCTGAGTCAGGAGGACTGAGAGTTTGAGGCCAGCCTGGGCTAAGAGAGATACCCTGTTCCAAACTTCCCCCCCACAAATGGTAAAAAGCTGGTGAAATTAATTTTCATTTGATTTTATTTATCCCAATAGATCCAAAGTATTATCACTTCAACATTTAATGAAGAAAAAATAATTAGATATTTTAGGAAGATTCTTAACTCATAGTAAGTCTTGCAAATCTAGTGCATATTTTATACTTGGAGCACATCTTAATTTTGAACAGTCATGTTCCAGGGCCAATAGCTACAGGTGTCCTGTGCCTACTGGATTGGGCAGTACAGCTCTAGAAGGCATTTCCATAGGGTAAGTGGAGCCTGAAGATGGTGCTGGTGATGAGGTGATGCAGTGATGGTGATCATGTTGATGGTCATTGTGGTGACAGTGATCATGGTGATAGTGATGGTGGTGATGATGGTGGTGATGATGATGGTGGTGATGGTACTGATGGCGATAATGATGATAATGGCAGTGGTGGTGGTGATGGTGATCGTGTTGATGGTGATGGTGGCGATAGTGATCATGGTGATGGTGGTGGTGATGATGGTGATGATGGTAGTGGTGATGGTGGTGATGGTGGTGGTGGTGATGGTGGTGGTGATGGTGGTGGTGGTGGTGATGGTGGTGGTGGTGGTGATGGTGGTGGTGATGGTGGTAGTGATGGTGATAGTGGTGGTGATGGTGGTGGCAATGGTGATGATGTTGCTTTTCAGGAACTAAGTGCTGGTCCAAGAGTTACATAGTCATCATCCTTAATACCCATAAGAAGTGGATTATCTAATTCTCAGCTCACAGAAGAGGTGAAGGGCCTTGTCCTAAGTTACCCAGTCTAAGGGCATTGTGCGCACACAGTGGTAGGGAGTGGAAAGCTGAGGAATGATGGGAGTCTCAGGGATCTTGCCCTGTGGGTTGCCGATCCTTTGTCCTGCTGCTCCTCTGCTCCAGGCTTGTGATACCGCTCAGCCTCCAGTGGGGGAACTCAGACAAGAACTAGTGAAGAGCTGGTGGAGTGACTCAAGTGGTAGAGTGGTTGCCTAGCAAGTTGAGGCCCTGAGTTCAAACCCCAGTACTGCCAAAAAAAGTAAGAAGAACTAGTGAACAGACAAACGATCCATTACAAACTGTGGTCAGTTTCTAAGGAGACAAACATTTGGAACCAGAGAGAAAATATGTAGGTGGTGCAAGGAGTTGACAGTACCATTTCCTTTAGACTTGGTGGTGAGAGAAGGTTCAGAGGCTGAGTCAATGATGGAAGGAGAGACCAGAGTTAAGGGAACTGAATGTGCAAAGGTCCTGGGCCAACAAAAGCTCAGCTCACAAGAACTACAAAGTGAAATGGCTAGGGTATTAGGAGCTAGGAAGAGAGAGAAAAGAAGACCAGACAGATAGGCCAGTTCAGCATGTCCTTAAAGACCCCAGGAGGAGGAGCGAGCTTTGTTCTTTGTGCACTGGGAAGCCCATGAGGCAGGTGGCATGTGTAAGATGAGGTGACCTGTACTTTTTTAAACAAATTCTCTGGCTACTGTGTGAGAAGAATATATAGTGTGGGTTAGAGTGGAAAACCAGCGTGGACACTGTTAGGCTAACAGGAGAAAGGACAGATGTGACCCAAGAAAGCAGTAATGAATGTGCACAGCCATGGCACCTCTGCTGAACAGGACAGGCCCAGTTTACCTGGGAGACAAACCCAGGCACGGACTCTGTCCATGTCAGGCGTCTCCATGTCCTGGTTGCTGCCGAAGACTCTAGTAGCTGTTGATTTGTCTGCTTCCCGGCCCTCAGCTTGCTCTGTAAGGCAGCCATGGTCCCCCTGTGGTGCCCCACAGTCCCGGATGCAGCATGAGCTATGTTACACGTGTGACATCAGAGGAGTGAGCCCAGTCAGCTGTTCATCTAGATATGAGCATTGCCCAAGTCAGAATGTTGTACTTCTTCCAGTGGATGGATTTTAGGTGCATAGGTTTGTTCATTGTTTTAATGTGACTGAAAATATTCCAGGTTCACTGTACAGCAGGTTCCAGCACTATAGAAACCCAGAGACAGAAAGTAGGAGTTCCTTATAATTTTGCTTCCCAAGACAAACCTGCGCCAAGAGCCAAGTGTGAGCGTCCCGCCCCCCCCCACCAGTTTGGGGGCCCACGTGCATTTTCTGCTTAACCATGTCTTGGATTTCTCCCTGCAGCGGGACAATAACTCTGCTCCATTCTCTAGTCTAATGGTGAAATCTCCCTGGGACATGTAGTGTATACAAAAAGGCCCTCTTTTATCAGTGGCTTTTCTGTCTGGGTGAAGACTAAAGATGAAATCTTGTTTTCGTCTGCAGGAGGAGTTCCCCGGCCCCCATCAGGAGAACAGTGGTGGAGTCAGCTGGCGAGGAGTAGAAATGCCATAATCCTGTTAGCCACGCTGGGCTTTGAGGTCTGCGGAGGCCCCGCTCTGCCTCAGCCACCGCATCGCCTACCTCTTATTTAGAGTCCTTTTCCTTGGTACTGTGTCATTACCTCCTCGCCTGGCGACCTGACTCCTCTCCTGTCCAGTAATTAGCCTGTCCATCTGGCCTTTTTGTTTGTCCTCTCTGCATGCAGTCTAGCCATTAGGACCCTGGGAAAAGCTAAATTCCTCCACCTTTGTCCACACAAATCAAAATACCATCTGCATTTCTCAAGAAACTTTTTTTTTTCTGGACAAAGAAATGTCACGGAAAATCAAACCATCCTAGCCCTGGCAAATAGTTTCACTTGCTTAGTAAATATTCCCAGGGATGGCAGGCACAATTTTTTTTACTGCATCAGTTATCTAATGGGTACAGGAAACTGAGTACAAATCGGCATTTCAAATATTTATGATTCATGCGTAACAGAAGAATGATCTTGACTTTGTTTGTTTTTTGGTTTTTTTTTGTTTCCTTTTATTTTTAGACTTCTGAACACATCAGATGCTCTGAAATGTGCATTGCGGCGACCAGCCAGAATTCTTAATTTCGGGTCAGTGTAGAAAAGCACAAGGAAGTGCTTACAAATGCGATCACAATCTTAAATGCTCTGCCTCCCTGTGAGCCCCTGTGCCACATTTATAGGACTGTTTGAATAGTGAGGAATGCAGCAGGGTAGGGAGAGGGAGGACCAGCGTCCTGAAAAATAAAAATAGTGGGAAATAATGAAAATAATTTGCGCATGTAGCACTTAACATCAGAACCACTTTCCCAAAGATGCTTTCTGTTGACTACACTGACCCCTGACAGAGCTCTGCAGGAGGAAGAGCAGGGATCATCTGACTTGTTTTTAGGTTCAGAGAGATTAAACAACCTGAGCAGAGCCACACAGCCTGACCTCTGCAGAAGGGAGCGGGGTCTTCAGGCTTCTTTTCTCAGCACTGTCCTCAAGCTACGTGGGGTCACCAGACTTTTGCTGGAGGTCACAGACCACTTGACCTGGCAGGATGGTGAAGGCACCGTTGTGTGACCTTTTCAGCTTTTTTAGTTCTCTTTCTAAGAAGGACAGGTCTAAATTTGATTTTTGTTTTGTTATTTTGTTTTTGGCCCAACTATGCCACTCATCCAGGCAGGATGACAAAGACAAGAAGAGGGAAGGTACTGAGTACATCCGGTGTATTTTCTCCCCCCAGGCCTCCATCTCTTGCTGCAGGCAGAAAAACAATGTCTCTGCCCGAGCTGGGTTTATGTCAAAAACGCTGAGAGGATCTTTCACTGCTGCTGGTCCAGGACCTGCCCCGGGTAAGCACTGCGGGGCTGGTCTTAACCTAAGGGCTCAATTCTCAGAGCACCCATTTCTCTGTAGGGAGTGTGTGGAGGAAGCCAGGCTGTGGGGGAAGAGGAGAAGGAGATGAGCACAGAAGGGTGAGACATCAGCTCCCTCAGGGAAACCGCTGCCGGCTCCAGAAACGTCACCTAAAACAGCTTTTGTGGCCTCCCATTTTGTGACCAGGAGCACCTGCTCTGGGCAGCTGAGTTGGGGAAAGAAGTGACCCTCAGCTCAGCAGTGTGCGGATTCGCCAGCCCTTGCTATCCCAGGCCACTGATGGGGAGAGAGAGAGATGGAATGACAACACTTTCGAGTTCTTTGGCAGGGACCACCCCTATGTCCGAAGGGCCTGCTCCACACTGAGGATCTCTCAGAGTCCCCATGCCCTTAGCCCTGGTTTTTGGGTGAGGAAAGAGGTCCTCAGAGCCCAGTGTCACTGCAGCAGCCAGGGACTGGCTGCTTTTCAGCCCAGAGGTGCCTGATTGAGACTCCCCATCCCCACCACTCCACGATGCCTTCTGGAACCTGCAAGATTCAGAAACACCCAAGAGCTTGCCTGTGGTTCTCCCTGCAGGGCTCAGGGAAGGGGGGCCCCTCTCCAGGGAAGGGGGGCCCCTCTCCCGTGCTCTTGGACTCCAGTTCTAGAGCACGTAGCTTATTAATCAACTCAGATGAGTCCTGAAGATCCCAGCCCCTGTTGCCCTGCCCCAGAGCCGCGGGGCCCCAGAACCAAAGGGGACAGGGAGGCTTGGCTTCTGCCATTGTGCCTCTTGAGGGGGTGTGGAGAAAATTGCAGTACATGTCAGATTTCAGTAAATCCAGATTGAAGCTGAGAAGATCAGTCGAGGCTGAGTAACAAAACCAGCGCTAATTAGGAGCTCAGCCCAGCTAGCGCTCTCAGCCTTGCGTCACCGTGGGCAAAGCCCCACCTTGCTTGTTTATACAAACTCAACAGACATCTCTGGGGCTGGCAGAGGCCCTGCCAGTGAGCCCTGAATAGACACACCCCATAGCCAGCCACACAGGCCTGCTGCCTCCTGGGAGGATCCCCTGGGCCCTCAGCCCTTGTGACACAGAGCAGGCAGGGAGAGGGCTTTCAGGCACTTCCCTGTGTCACACTGCACGCTCCCAGCCCCTTTAGTGATCTGCATGTTTAATCCACAGTTGGGGGCTGTTGTGATTTTGTCCTCATTCTACATGCAGAGTGACTCCGAGGAAGCAGATGATCAGCCCAGGGCCGCACAGCTGGATCTGAATCCAGGCCCATTCAACTCCATACCTAGTACCTTCAGATCACCCCAGCCTGCCTGGCAGCCAGCTCTCTGCCTTTTATTTCTTGCTTTTGGTTTTCTTATTCTCCACAATTTTTAATTCAAGGATTGCTTTAACCTTTTCGGGGCTAGAGTACAAATACATATACATACATATATAGTCTACCATATATGGAATATATATTTTATACATTTGAGAGAAAGGCAGAAATATGAGAGATCTAGACCAACAGTATAAATGCTGCTGACATCTGCTTTTAAAAATTATCAGCATATGTTAGGAATATCTTTTCATGTTATTAAAAATCCTTCCAGAAAGTCGTTTTTAGTGTACGCATAGTATCCCATTGTATGGTGGCAGCGTGGGTGAGGACAGGAGTGCCCTCTTGCTGCAAATTTACACTTGACTGCTGCTAAATATGAATGGCAAGGCACTGACCATCCTCATAGCTAACACTTTGTTGTTCAATCAAGATTACTTCCAGCTTGGTGGTAGCGCGCTTAGCACGTGCAAAGGCCCTGGATTCTGTCCCCAGCACTAAAATATATATATATTTCCTTATGTAATCAGATTAAAGTAAAATTGCTAAGTCAAAATGTTTGTAAACTAAGGTTTCTGATGTCTGTGACCATGCTGCCCCTCAGCCCAAGGGTGACTGATCTCCTTCCTTCCATGGGGCACCTTTGCGTCATGGAAAATGAACCACGCTAATAAGACCTTAGTCTTGTTTTCGGTATTTTTGCAATGTACAAGTAATTCTGTTTGAAACAATTAAAGTCAAGTTTGCAATGTAGTGAACATTTGGAATATTTTTCCCACTCCTCAGTGCCACAACTAGTATAATTGTTTCCACTTTTCTGGATTCACATTGCTTTCTTTATTTATTTAGAGGGGGTTGAACTTAGGGCCTCGTACTTTTTAGGCAGGTGCTCTACAGCTTGAGCTATTCCACCAGCCCTTTTTTGTGGTGAATATTTTCAAGATAGGGTCTTGCAAACTATTTGCCCAGGGTTGGCTTCTAGCCAATGTCCCCCTGATCTCTGCCTCTGAAGTAGCTAGGATTACAGATGTGAACCACCGACACCTGGCTGCTTTTATTTTAATTTATATTTATTTATTTGTGTTTCTGAATTCCTACCTGTTTTTGTTCAGTTGTGTACACTAGTCCACAGACTTTTAGGCCTCATTTTACATTTTCCACTCATGTTTATTTTCAAAACCATGTCCACGTGGCCTCTGCTTTTCATATTTACTGTTGGTGGGACCGGCATGCCATCTGATGGGGCTGTGACTCCTATGCCTCTGCCCCTGGTCCCGGACACTTAGGCTACTTACACTTGTCCACACTGTAGCTACTGCAGTTGTATACAGCCTGGTGTCTGGAACTTTCCATTCTACTGACTAACTCCTGAATTCCCAAGTAACGGGAAGCCTTCATCAAGGCATGTAGATGCCTTTCCTGGTATCACTGACTTGGGCTCTGAGCTCCAGCACCCATTTCCAGGGCTGCTCACAATTCAGAGAGTGCTGTTGACTCCCCTTCCCTCCATCTCAGGCCTTGGAGACAGGTGGCCTTTGTCCGCATAGTAGGTGCCCAATCGGTACTTGTTACTTGAGCGATACTTGCGAAGAGGCCGTAACAGTATTTTCAGCTGTCCTGATGACACCACGGCGGGAAGACTTACTGTTCTCACTCTGTAGAGGAGGAGACTGAGCTTCAGCGCAGCTGAGAGATGTGTCTAGGTCCTTGGTTAGGTGGACATCCTCTGGTTAATTGCTTAGAATGGAGGGGATAACAGCCATCTGACTCGGCTACCGTGAGGACCAGGTGGGTGACCTGTGTGAGACGCACGGCCCATGTTCTCTGAATTGTGAGTGTGACTTTTAGTTCAGGAAGCCTCACTTCCCCTCTGGAGCAGCACTGCCTCGTAGCCATCAAGTGTACTGCTAGAGATAAGGGACGGCCTTCTATGCATTTGACAAGAGTTCCTTATTCTGTGTTAACATCTCTTTCTGTTTAGGGCATTACAATGTCAATGAGTCCCTTGTGAAGCAGTCGCCAAAGACTTTAGTGTCTTGTTTTAAATCAAAAACTGGCCGAGGATTAAAACTAACATCAACAGGCCCAGGGCCTGGTCTCTACAACCCAGATGATCGCACCAAAGTCCTGAAAAAGAGTCAAATTCCGTGAGTCCTCTTCCTCTTCCTCCTCCTCCCTGTCCTTCTGCTCCTTCTCCACTTCATCCCTTGCCTTGGTGATAACTAGCATGGGCCACCTTGACCAGCATGAACCTGCCAAGTTAAACGGGATCTGAGGGAAGGGCTCAGACCTAGATGGAGGTCAGCAGTAAATCCCTTCTGACCTTTCTGGGCCTGGGGAGGCACTGGGATGGCCATCTCCAGGAACAGGCTCCTCCAAATATCAGGGACCTCCTCCTCCAGACTGGCATGGGCCACCTTACCATGCTACCTTTCCCCTACTCTGCCAATGAAACAGAACAAGTGAGAGGGCAGGCTGTGCAGGCAGAAGACCTGAGCAGGAAGCCCAGCTCTGCCTTCACAGATCCTTGCCCTCTCAGAGCCTCAGATGAGAGGTGACGATCTTAAAAACAGCTGCTGCTCTTTTTCTCATTGACACATGGAAACTTCTAGCTGTTACTCTTATTGCAGCTATTATTCTACATCCTGCTGACCTATAGGACATAGGATGCAGCTGTTAACTTGCACTGCTGGATCAAGCCCCTAGCTCAAGCTTCTTCAAGGAAATTTCAAAATAAGACAGGAGAACAGAGTATGATATTTTTCACTGTCTCACCAGGAGAAGTGCCTCTTGGCTTTTGCTCAAGTTTGGAGAACAATTTATAGTCTCATTTTATGGTCAAGTGGATGCCATGCCTTCAGTCAGGCACTCCTGGGAACAACCTCAGAGCATGGCAGAGATGCATGCATCGAATGCTGGCTCACCTGGCTCGAGCTTATGGCCACATGTACACTGTGTGTCTGGGGCATCTGGTGCCCATTGGTAATCTGTAATGTTTTGGGAATGAAAGATCCCGGTGAATATGGCTGGCGAACCCAGCATGCTATCCTCAGACCCTGCAAGCCTTGCAGTGGACTGGGGAATATTAAAGGCTTAATTGGGCCTGCAGGAAAGGGAGCTATTAAACCCTACTTGGGATCACCCCAAGCCCAACAGCAGAATGTGTGTGTTCACCTGCTGTGTGGTCTCAGGCTGCTCTTAGAAGCTCCATGAGTGACATGAGGGGCATTTATCCATTTCTGACCCTCAGTACTCCACATTTACTCACCATGTGAGTGAGTAAACGTGGGTAGTGAATAGGAGCCAGGCTGAATCCACAGAGGAGGTCCAGTATGCTCATTTCAAAAACGGACATGGAGCTAGGCATGGGGCACTCACCTGTGCAGATCCCAGCACTCAGGAGGCTAAGGCAGGAGGATCGAGAGTTCAAGGCCAGCCTGAGCCTCATAGTGAGACCTTGTCTCAAAACAACAAAAATTGACCTGGAAAGGATGAAGCTGAGAAATCTGTAACTTTATTTGAAAAGTGAGAAGATAAAACTGGTACACTTTGGACTACTCAAAGTGCCCATCATTTAGGCTGAATAAAATAGAAAATGATGGAAAAGGAAGAAAAGATACCACCGCTGAATGACAGAGCATTTCAGGATGTATGACTCCAGACTGCCAGTGCTCCTCCTGGTGTCCCTGGAGGGCAGTGAGGGCAGGAACCTCATGGGGCCCTGTGCTGGCTGTCAGGCCTCTGCGTGTCCCCATTGCTCCCTTCCCAACTACCTATTGCTCTTGCTCCGGCCTTGTCCACATCAGACCAGGCTGCTTGTAGTGCTGTAGGACCACACGGCGCAATGGTAGAGAATCCGAGAGTCATCGTGTCTCTCTCGGAAACACGTGCATGAGAACCATGTAGCTCTGTGCACACACCACATGATATGCGATTTACCTCGTTTGTCCTGGGCTGGAATTGCGTGGCCTCTGATTCGTGTTTGCAAAAACAGCACACTGGCTCTGCTTTACTCATGGCACAGTGAGGATTGGGCAGTGTGAACTCTCCTGGAGTTGTTAGTCTGTGTCATTGGCCCAGAAAAGCGAGGCCCCCAAGAGGCAAGAGGCAGGAGGATAGGTGATGTGACTGAAATGCACGGGAGGTGGGTGGCAAGCAGGGCCGGAATGAGGTGGCTGGGCAGGCTCCGAAGTCGTGTTATGGGCACCTCCTGCCTTCCCCCTTTGCCAGCCCTGTGAGCATGGGGAAGGCAGTTCCCTTAACACCCAGGGAATTCAAACCCTTCCCTGTGAGTTGATTTAAGACACTTCATAATGTGACTGCAAGGACAAAGGGAGATAGCCACTTAACTCATGTGGCACTGTGTTTAGCTGAGCCCGTGCAGGTTCTTTGCTGTCTCCCAAGCTTTCCCCAGGGGTCCCTGTAGGGTGGGTACCATGCCAGGGGCTGGCACTCTGTGCCTCTTAGCCAAAGCACACATCCTGGGTGTTCCCAGGCTGTGGTCACCGTGCTGACTCAGAGTTGAGAGGATTTATAGCTTCCAAGGTGTCTTTAGAAGTGAGGTGAATGTCAGCCGAAGTTTCACTTCTTGAGGCCCTTGGTCTCCACCGCCATGGTGACTCAGGGCGGGAGGGCGAGTCAGGCTAGGAGATTACAGTTCCTCGCAGCCACTGCCTTCCGACTCTCGCTCCCCGTGAGGAGGCGGAACACAAAGAGACATCTTCCCAACCCTTCCTCTACTTCCTGGAGCTTGTAAGCTACTGGTTTTGCACAGACACGCTGCCCTGTCACAGCTGGAGCCAAGGAATCAAGCCCGCTGGCCCCGTTCCAATCTGGGTAATTACATTGGCCCCACCTACAGTCCCCCTGGATTGTTGGTTGGATATGTGATGTTTCTTCCCCAGCACTGTCATCTCACAGCCACCTTGCTGGACAGATACTGAACTCCACCCCAGAGGCAATCAGCAGCCCTTTAATGTGGGGGACAGTGCCCCTTTATCCCTCTTGAGCCTGGCAATCCCTGGGGCAAAGTGAACCTGTGCCTGGGAGTGTCCTGAGTGTCCCGGCTGCCTTCCACAAGTGACCAGCTGTGTCCTCCAGGACAGTCATTATTCTCAGGCCATTTGCAACAGTTCATGCTGGAAGCCGAAACACACTTAATCCCACTGTGACCAACTCAGAGCCTTTGATGGACGTTTTGTTTCCACGGGGCAGGACCAGGTTGGTCTTCATCGCTCAGCAGTGAGACTCAGGAAAGCTGGGTCACGATGCACCCTGTGGCTGCCCTGGGTTTCATCTGACAGCCCCACCTCGGCATGAGTGGTTAGACCCATGCGACCCAGGTGGTGCTCAGGGTCCAGGCTCCCTTACTGGGTTCAACCCCCATGCTTGTCCCTCTAATTCAGCAAATGTACCCAGCAAAGGACTGGAGGTCCCAAAGCTGAGTTAGCCATGATTGCCTCCCTTAAAGAGCGAGGCAGGTAGCAAGCATGAGAGGGCTTGGACTCCAGTACACTCCACTTAGCTTTCCTTTCATTGCTCCATACCAGAGGTGAAAGATAGACTCACTTTCCTTGAAGGAGTCAGAAGACAGACTGAAAACAGAGTGCAAGTGAGGAGTGTCCACAGAAGTCTTTAGCTTCCCAGCCCAACCTTGGTCTACTCCTTCATCAGGCATTGTCAGGAAGATAATTAGCAGATTCTGGATCATCAGTGCTGTAATGGCCCCTAGAGATCTGCTGGTCAATGGGGGTGGGATAGCTGATTCCTGTAATGTAGGTGCCTCTCCCCCTTGCGGTCAGGGCCGACACCACAAGCCGATCCATTACCAAGGCCTCCTCCCACTGAGCCCATGTGAGGCCTCAGTTCTTTTCACAGACTCCAGACTCCAGCCAGGCGTTATCAGTTGATCGGCTGCCTATCCTTCCCGGTTTAGCTTACCAGCTACGACAAGGTGTTCTGAGCTCCCACTGGGTGCCAGCCCAGCCCTGTGTTTTAGGTGCAGCACCTCATTTAACCCTGACAACAAGCCCAAAGAGTAGGTGCTATTATGATTGTCCTTATGCAGACGAGGAGACTGAGGTCCAGGGGCGCTGGGCTTGGGAGCAGTGGTGACATGTGTGAGCCTCTCACAGACCTCTCAGGGCCATGCAGGCCTTGGCGGTGGCTGAAAGTTGGCATTTCTCCAAAACGGTGGCAGTGACATCTTTCCATTTTGTTTTTTCCAAAGGAGAAACCCCATCCTGAATTTCTCTGCCCAGCCTCTGCCCCTGCCCCCGAAGCCACCTCTGCCAGGCCCTGGCCAGTATGACATCGTGGACTACTCAGGCCCCCCCAAGCATTTCATCTCCAGTGCATCCTTCGTGTCCAACACTAGCCGGTGGACAGCGGTGCAGTCCCAACCAGGTCTGCCCGGCCCAGGTCAGAGGACATCTTTAAATGACTATAAACCCCAGACCTTTTGGAACTGTTTGTCATTCATAGGCCATCAAATACCATTGATTTATAGGCTGTTTGCCAAACAGGTCACAGAGGTAAGGACAGGTTTAGGAGAGTCATCAGTTCACACTTTCAGTGGATAAAAAGATTTTTTTTCTTTTTTAAGAGAAAGGACTCTTAGTGGGTCCTACAGGGATCCTTGACCCAGGACTGGGAAGGTTCAAGAAGTCAAGTAAGGCTCTGAGCAGTCTGTGACTTAATTGCCTGCTGGTTTAGAGTATGATTATAGGTGTGAGCCACCAGTGCCCAGCTTCTCAGAGAAGTCTTGTTCTTAAAAATATTGACCAGGCATGGTGGTTCGTATCTGTAATCCCAGCTACTCAGTAGGCAGAGAGAGGCAAAGAGGATCACCATTCAAGGCCAGACTCAGCAAAGTTAGCCCAAGACCCTATCTGAAAAACAAACTAAAAGCCAAAGGGCTGGGGGTGTGGTGATAGAGCTGCCTAACAAGTGCCTAAGGTCCATCCCAGTGCTGCCAAAGAGAAAAAAGAAAAAAAAAAAAGGCAGAGGAAAGGAAAGAAAGAAGGAAGAGATGGAGAGAGAGAGAGGGAGAGACAGATGGCTGCTCTTCATAGCCATCTGGCTTCTCTCCCTCTCTCCAGGTAAGCTTTAGCAAACTCCACTCCTTCTGGGATCTACTGGGAGCTAGCGTCCTAAGCAGCTCACTCCAAGGGGAGGTCTCTGTACTTCCCACCTATTTGTAGCTCTCCTGGCACCTGTGATGACAATGGCAATTGTCAGAGCTTGTGGCATTAGGAACTGGTGGGTGTGGCAAGTGTATGGGATAGGAAGGCAGAGCTGAGCCAGCCACCAGGTCCATTATACTCAGCCCCTCAGCAACACTCCTGTCGTGGGGGCTGAGGTGACGTGCCTGGTGATCTTGCGTCAGAGGTATCAGCCTGTGGTAGGGGAGACACCTTTCCCCCACATTCACAGGTAAGGTAAATGTAAGAGAGATCAGACAGGGAGAAGGTAGTGATAATCAGACAAATAAGACTGCGGAGGTTTGACCTGGGAATCAGCGCAGGAGAGCTGGTGTGGCAAACGTGAGTGCCAGGAGGCCTGAAGACAGGATGAGATCCCTGTCTGAGCCCCCTTGCACACAGGTACAGCCATTCCTGCAGCCGTGGTCACCTCCATCAAGTTGGACTTCCCTGAGGAGCCTGCTGGGCAGGTGCAGGAGCAGGCACCCACCTCCATGGCCTCCAGTGGGCGCAGATCTTTCCCGAGGGGACAGGATGTGCAGGGACCCTCACTAGCTTTATCACTTTGACAGGAGAGTTCCTTTCGCATTAGGCTGAGGTACCCAAGTTTTGCTTGGTCCTGGCTGCTCATGTCCTGAATAACGCTGTCTGCAATCATGATGGCTTTCACTTTTCTGGAAATTTCTGAACTAAATCAAAACAAAAGCTAACACCTAATGAAAGTTACCTACCAAGCTAACAACTTGCTTCGTTAAGTATACTGCTTTACTTAATATGTTTTTCAAATTACCTTCTGTTAAAGAATTTAAAAAGAGTTAAAGAATGCCAGAAGTCATAGTTTAAGTCTGGCCTTGGCTGGTTACAAGCTATGTAACATGAGACCATCCCGACTCTCCCCTCTCACCCCACACCCTGCCCCAGTCTCTCCACATGTAAGAATCAGAGCTGGAACCTGGGTCCTGTGGCCTTTCCAGCTCTAAGGTGGGATGTGGGGCCTGTAACCCTTCTCTCTTAATGCCCTCTCTCTCCTCAGCCACCTACAAGCCTGAGTTCCCAGGGAAGCAGTCCTTCCTGTACAATGAGGACAACAAATGGATCCCAGTGATATAGTGGGGTGCCAGACAAGCTCGGGAAAAAGCCTGGTCCCCAGGTCCTGGGGCTGCTCCCCAGGACTTTCATTAGGAGAACCTGTATTTCATGTGTGGCAGCTGCCCACCTGCCACCCCTGCCTAGTCCAACAGCCCGGCTGCTGCAGTCATCCCTGTCTTGAGCTGCTTCAAGGAGGTTGCATCCACCCCTGCGAATTCCAGCACTTTCCTGAACAGAAAAAGTGGACAAAGCCTTCTAGTTACTTCCCCATGCACCAATCCAGGTTGGCTCTGGGTGACTCCCCTCCACAGCCTTGAGGGGCTCTTGAAGTGTGGTCTCTGAGGCGCAGCCCCAATCTACCACCAAGGCAGATTCCCTGTATAGAAACCTAAAGGCTAGGCCATAGATCTGGGGCCCAGAGTGTGTCCAAGCAGTGTCCTATCCATCTGGCTCTGACTTCCAGACTCCTCCTTGACTTCCAAGACCCAGGGAGACCCAGAGGTGAACTGCAATGGAGACACAAGAGTGCAGCCCAGGCCGCCTGACCCCATCGAAGCCTTGGAATCTATCTGTAAGAAGAACATGGAAGCCAGTTACTTCTACTCATTACCTAGCTTTGGAGGTTGACCTCTCCCTCGGCTATGGGCTCTGCGTTCCAAAGCGGATGCAGCAGGGCCCTGCAGAGTCAGAGTCCTGATAACAGTGGTCCTGAGGGACTGAGAGGCCACCTGTGCTCCAGGCCTATAGGCTTTCACTTCTCCCCAACTTTCCCCTGCCTGGGCCTGGTTTCCAACCCCCTCTGACCTCTTGCTGTAATGTCAGAGGAGGCCTCATTGACCAAGTTGGACATAGACTTTAACAGATCTCTTCTAGCCTGCCAAATCTTTCCCCTCCACAAGAGGAAGATGGGAGCAAAGAACCAAATAAAGTAGAACTAACCTAACCACACACGCTCTTTCTCCCATGTTGATGCTATCACTTTTCTAAGTTAGAGTCTCTCTTGTGTGGCTCCCTCCCCTCCCCAAGCCCCTAATTCCCCTGATGACATCTAGTTCTCTTACTTCCTGCTCTTGTACTTTCTCTGTGAACCTCACATCTGGGCCTTCCTGTCAGAACGGGTCGCTTGATTGGCTCTCCCTTTGGGGAGGGGTGGGTGAGTAAGAGAGAGGGAGAGGGATGGAATAACATATTCAATTAAATCGAGTTCTTCCTTCTCTCAGAAGTTGGCCTTTCTGTGAACTTCAGATTCCTGCAGGGCCCTATGGCTTTGAAATGACGAGAGGTAGCCAGTAGTACTGTGCAAAGAGCTGGGTTCTGGGTTTAAAGGCAGGGCTGCCTGTACTATGCTTCTGCCTGCTCAGGCCCTCAGCTTCTCCAACAGGAGCCGGGCAGGAATCAGGGGCTCCCAGGGCTAACTTCCAGGGCCTGGGTGGGTGATGCACGAGTGAAACAGGTCAGCTGGAGCTGAGGCTGTGGCCGTCCGACAGGCAACTGATCCCAGCTCTTAGCTGCCAGAGCTGCAGATTTTTCCAGTAGAGTCTGGAAAAATCTTTGCACCAAGAAATCTCTTGATGTGAAATGTGAACAATTATAGTTCAATTTAAACTTTTTATTTGGGTTATCCAAAACTCTTCTGCGGGCCTTTGGTTGTCCACCTCCGTGCTAGAAGATCTGGAAAATCCTTCAAAGCTGACACTTGAAGCTGTACCTTCGTTTGACCCCAGATTCTTGACAATGAGGCCAGATGCTGAGGCCTTGGGTTTTAGGACCCTCAAATCCTGGGACCTGTAGTGACCTTAGTAGAAGACTAGGCTAGAATCTACTGGCCCTGGGGTCACTATGGGCAGAGGCTGGTGGTGATGCATAGGAAAATAATGTCAGGCTTCTTGGGCCATCAGAATAAAGACTGTCTCTCCAGACTGAGCCCCTCCAAGTGGGTCTGGACAGAGGAGACCTGGGAGAGAGCAGCAGGGCTGCTCCCATCAATCAGAATCCACAGGCCATAGCCGACATGACTGGGCTGAGGCCCTAAGCTCTGTGCTCTGTCTCTATCATTCCAGCCACTCTTAGGATGTCACAGCTGCCCATAGCTCCATCTGGTTCCCAGCCTGTAGCAGGACATTAGGCTCACCTGGAGCTGTTAGAGGGCGCATGCCCAGGCCTTCACCCTCAAAAATCATGGCTATCTTTGTTAAAGTTCTTTGTGTGACTGTGATGTATCTAGCTAGGGTTAGGATACACGGATAATTTAATAAAGTACTTCCCACATTTTAATGTGAATTCAAATTGCTTGGATACTGAGATTCTGTGTTTCTAAGGAGCTCCCAGTGGATTCTGATAGTGTTGGTTGAAACCTTGAGAGAGCAAGGTTCTAATATGCTCTTCATCTGGTCTTCCATTTGTCCATCCATCTGCTTGTTTTCCCTCCCTCCCTTCCTCCTTTGTCTCTTTCTACCTCACTCTTGTTGATCAAGTGGACAACAGTCACTAGCAGGCAGGTGATGCCATCCCCCCCAGCCAACAGCTGCCCCTCCACCTGTTGGAAAGGACCTATCTTTATACCATCCATCTTTTCACTTTTTGGCATGGCAGCCACGCAGCTCAGGAATCACCCTTCCCCTCCTGACTTTCCGTTAGGGCAGGACTGAACTTTCTCGAGGCTTACAGGGCTCTCTTTGGGGTCAGGTGGCCTTTCTTAGCTTGACAGTCCTCACCCCTCTGTGTCCCCGTGGCTTTGCTGGAGACTGCAGAGATGCACAGGGCATGGGGAGCTGCCATGTCTCTCCTGAGCTCTGCAGCAGGCTGGGCACCAATGTTGAGGATTCCTTGTACACTTTCACCCAGGCAGACACCGACAGATTGCATAGTCTTCCAGGCCTGTGCAACTGTGGCTTTTTTAGGACAGCGGCTCTTAGCCTTGATTGCACAGGGTAATTACCCAGGGAATTTTAAAAAGTACTGACACCTGGGCAGTCATCCAGAAATGCTGACTTACTTGCTCCAAGGTGGAGTCTAGCAGCAGGGAGAAGTGTGGGAGTGATCCCTGTGTGCCATCAAAGTTGAGCTGGGCATCTCCACATTCCCAGCCAGCCATGGGACAGAAGCTGGGCAGGAAGATCAGAAGGAGGAAACTGACACCTACAGAACCCTCACAGTGTGCCTGGTGTGCACTGTTGCCCTGCACTGCTGTCATTTCACCTTCCTAAGTCACCCTCCTCTGGCACCTAGGGTGGTATCACAGCCGCAGGAAGGCCTGGCTGGGCAAAGCAACTCTGGATGCTCCACAGGGTCCCTCCAGTAGGTGCACAAGCCATGTTGGAACCTGAGGCAAAAGGAAGCATCAATGACACCGATCCTGTCTTTAAAAACTGGAGGTCTTGTTCATTGTGACCCCAATTCCAGGCAGGGCCCCTGGAATTGGACTAGGGACTGTAGAGCTGGGAGGTTCTTATAGCTATCTTGGTTTTCACTTTTTAAAGTTTGTTCAGACAAAAATTTCTAAGCACTCCTATTATGTAAAAACCAGAGCTGGCTGGGATTGAAGTCAGGGAGACTCCATTGTCTCGCCAAAATGTGACCAAGGCATGTGAGGTGACACATAGGAAGACTTTTATTACTAAATACTATGAGTATACAAAATGCATAGTTGAATAACAGCTAAAAAAAATAGTCCAGGAAACGTGAAATACATATTTTTTGAAATGATAAAAATGTATCCATGAAAAATATAAAATATTGCATATATACACAATATATTTATATATACATAACATAAATGAAAATTGTAAATAGGAAATGTGTACAACAGTAGTGGCAAGGCAGTAGTTCTACTCAGTGGTCTCTTTGTTCCAGTCAGCTCTGTTATTTACATCTTGTATTGAGGAAGCTGGTAAGAAAGACATTTCTACTAAGAGTCATTTTGAAAAATCATTTGCACTGAAAATCATGAATTTTCAAGTTAACTGACCAAAGGGTGATAAATCCTTGGTCTGAAGTTGATGGAAGAGTCCAAAGTGGGGGCTGGAGTGTCCCGATGCAAGAGGGCAGGTTTCACCCCCTGAAAGGCAAGGGCACAAGGGCAAGGACAAGGGCGTCTGCAGGGGACTTCAGAGGAACCGATTGGTTGGTCTGTGTTGACCCAGATGCATCGTCTCTCGTGGGCAGGTGCTAGCAGGAAGCTCGGAGTGGACTCAAGCAGAGATAGGGTTCAGATCAGGAGCCCGCTAAGGTCCCTTCTTGGCCCTGATATGGGAAGGTTGGGTTGTGGCTCGAGGACCTCTTCTCTCAAGGAAGCCACTCAAGTAGCAGCACTGAGGCACGTGGAGAGGTTGTGTGTGACGTGGGCCACTTCCCAGCTGGCTCCTGGCCTGGAGCCCACTAGGGCTCAAGGGTTCAAGTTTAGGCCTCACAACTCCTTCAGGATGATCTGAATCTTGCCGTCCAGCTCACCCATGTCCAGCAGAAAGGCCACATGGTTGCTGTAGTGCTGAATGATGTTGTTGTCCATGTTGACCAGAATTCTGGAAGAGAGGAGATGACATGGTTGGAATGTGGCAGGCCCCTGTGTCCTGGCACTCTGAGTGTCCACCATAATAGCAGACACCAGTTTCCTCTGATTCTTAAAACTATCCTGCAAAGTGGGGATTTGCAGTCCCCCTTGGGGAGTGCCTGAATCAACTCAAACCCTGGCCTGGTGGCCACCATGCTCATGCCTGCTGCTGAACTGTTGCTCTCCTGATGCACAGGAGAACAAATGCTTTTGAGCAACTGAAGTGCAGGTCAGAGAGAGATGCTGTCACCAAACTGAGACTCAATACAGTGTGAGTTCATGTCCAAGAGGTGTGGCAGTCTGATCAACAGGAGGCTAAGATGTGCCATCCAAGTGTGCCTTACTGAGAGGCAGCGGCCACACAGGTCCCCTCTCCGTCCATCCCCATAAGATTGAAATCTCAGGGGGTTGTATATCCCCACTCTCTTGGCAAAGACCTGGTCAACCTGACAGAGACAGACCCTCCATGACTATGGCCCCTGCTTTATACCAAGCACTCCCTCTCAGAACTGCTCCTGGTGAAAGATCACTAAGTGGCCTGTGCTTGAGTGCACCAGCTTCCCTCTGGCCCTTCCCTGCTAGGCTTCTGAGCATGTAATGAAGTTGGCTCCAGCCACCTATCCACCCACCCATAGCCTTCCATCTTCCCATTCATCCCCAGCACCTGCTGAGGCCTTTCACGTGCAAGCCATGTGGAGATGAATCAGACCTAAATCCTGTCCTCCAGAACCTCCCACAGACTGGGAGGATCAACCCTTACAACTCTTGCTACTCCAGCTCATAGATGGCAAAGCCAAGGTTCAAGGACACAAAGTCATTTGCCCAAGGTCCCGCAGTTAATAGATGCAGAGTTGAGATTTTGGTCTGCGTCTTTGTCTCTTTCTACTGTATCATTTCTCAGGTTAAGATAAAGTATATAGTCCTATAAACACAAGTTAGGAGTGGCAGATAAAAGGCAAAATGCAGGGTCAGGGGAGAGCTTTAAGTAGGTAGGAGTGGCAGGTAAATGTCTGTTTTCGTGCAGGGACCGCAGTGAGCCTGAAGCCCATGGCGGACGTCAGCTGTGGGCACCATCAACTGCAGTATCAGCCTCGTAGCTGCTGCTTTTGGGAGGCAGGTTCCAGCTCAGGCTCCCAGAGGCCTGGTGCTGACTGCCAGTGTTTAATTACAGGGTCCCTTTTCCTCAAGTCCTGTTAAGAGCCCTGCATTTCATAGAGGAATCTTTGGCTGAGGGCTGGAGACTGGGAACAGACAAGAGGAGACCAGGGCTGGACAGAGGGGTGGGCACTTTGTCCATATCAGGGGTGGGTAGTTTCCCTGTGGTGTTATTGAGTTGTGCTTGAGGAGCCAGGCACTGTGTGCACCCCTTTGTGAAGCAACTCAAAGGCTGGCTCCTTCCCACCCCCCAGCAGGGTCTTCCAGGCCTAGCCCAGCCCATAGACCCTCCTTTCAGAGGTCAATGACAGCTGGGCCCCGGGTGGCAGGGGCCTGTCAAGAATTGCTGTTTTGGAATACAAGGCTCTTGACACTTCCCTGCTTCTAGCTATCTTTTGCCCTGGGTCCCTGAACTCCTGGCCAGATGCCAACAAAAACAATGTATTTGTTAATCTTTCAAGCATTCAATGGTGCTTGTAAAGTGATGGTATCTACCTTTGTTCAGAGGACTTTCGGAAGGGTTTTCTGAAAATAAGCTAGGCCACTGGTTAGAATTTCCTGTTTTGCCATGAGGACCCTGACAGAGGAAGGTGTGCTGGTCTCTCCTCTTCCCAGAGGGTTTTGGGGGAATATTCTCATCTGGACCATTCAGAGCATCCTAGGACTGAGGTTGCTGTAGCTGTGGGGATAAGGGGGTAGGGATACCTCTGCAGGCTGCTAAGTGGTGCCCTGGGCTATGGGGCTGGGCAAATACTCTGGCCAGCCTGGTGACAACCTTTATTTGAACACTACTTAGTGATTAGAGGAACAAGCAGGAGGCAAGATAAAACAGCAGGGGACTGCCAATTTGGGCTGCCAGGATCCCTTCTGTCACTAACTTAGGATGTTGTTATTCTCTAGACCTCAGTTTCATCTAGAAACAGAGATGACCCCACCCTGCTTAAAGGGCCAATGAGATGGTGCCAGGCATTACATAGTGCAGAGCCTGGAACACGGGAAGTGTTCCACCAATGGAAGTCATTACAACTACGATTTACACAGCTGCATGGAGTCAAAGGGAAAGGTTCCGGCTGTGGGCAGTGGGACTGGGGTGGGTATCCTTGCATGCACATCCACCTCCCCTATTGGACACACAGGCACCTCCCAGCCCCTTCGCCTGGTCTGGGGTAGGATTTGCAGGGGAGGCCTGTGCAGATAGGGGCTGGGGCCAGGGGATGTGGGCAGAGCACAGAAGGGAAAGTGGAACTGGACTTGTCTAGGCAAAGCAGAGCCATGAAACAGATTATGCTCCCAAGTGTGTGAGCCCCCATTTGAAACCAAAACTTGGAAAAATACACACACAAAACCTCTAGACTCATGCAACCCAAACCAAGTGGGTCAGTTCCCAGAGGCTACAGGGATTGTCACTGGCCTGCACCCCAGCCTTCTTGGGGAGGCTAGAGGGAACCACTGAGGAAGGGAGGCAAGCTGGGCCTGAGGAAGGAGGCCAGGCCCCCGAGCTGGGTAGATGGGCCTCACTTTGCAAAGCCCTCTAAAAAGGACAATCCACAGACCACAGCCATGGGCAGTTTCTGACCTAGTAAGAAACAGGGCCTACTCACAAGTGCAGCAGGAGTGAAACTGTCCAGAGAGGAGAGTCAGTCTGAGGACTGAGGAGCTAGGCGCTTCTTGGGATCCCAATCCTAGGTCTGCTGGACTGAGAATGGCAGTGACAGTTCCTCATTGCCCAGGGACCCCATTTTGGACTGGTGAACTGACATAGTCAGAGAGAGCTACAGAGGCCCAGCTTCCTGGGTCTGAGCAGAGGATGAAGCCCAAGAGGACAGTTACCATGTGACTCTGTCTCCCCCCAACCAAGGGGTCTCCTGGCAGACATCAGGGGTCCTGTGGTCCCTAGAAGCCCATGGTGGTAGCCAGGCACTGCCTGGTTCCTGGAGGGTATAGCTTGGTTCCCTCCTGCCTAGTCGAGCCTGGAGGTGGAGGACCCATGGAGCATCCTTGGCTGGGCCCCTCAACACAACTCAACTCCAAATCATGACACCTTTTTTGGGCTCATGGCAGTTAATCCTTCCTGCCCCTGACTTTGCTGGTGATACACTGCTGGGCCTTGCTGCCTCTATGACTTTGCTATATGGCTCTTGTCTTTGATCACCAGTCATCACTTCTGAGCCTCAGTTTCCTTGTCTATAAAGAATGGGTGATGGGATTTACCGCAAAGCATGCTGTGAAGGCTGGATGATTTATGCTCAGCCTGCTATCTGATACATAGTAGGCAGTCAAATGAATGGAGATCACCATAATCATTATTGATGTAATCATGTAACTTGGTTATCCAGTGGCCTTGGAGCTTGAACTCAGGTCTTCTGATGAGTGATCATATACCACCCTCTACCTCAGGAGGTCAGATATGAAGACCCTTCCACCTCCCCGCCACTCTCATCTTCCTAGCCACCAATGCCTGGTCTCTTCAAGTGGAGGGGCTTCCGCTGACCCTGGACTGACTCGGGGCTCTCCACCCTACTGCACACCCTCTCAGCCTCTTCATCTCCATGAAGGCCAAGTACACATCTTCCCCAGCACTGAGCAGCCAGTGATGGGAGGGCTGAACCTGGCACTCACCCCCGCTTGCACTTCTTGTAGACTTTGTAAATGTTCTCTTCAGGGAGCCCGTACTTCTCTGAAATCTGGAAGAGAACAGCCAGGATTCAAAGTCTGTTGCCCAAGCTGAGTTTATACTCAATCTTTTGTACCATTGCTTCTTTCTGCCCAATTATACAAGCATGGTGAGCATGCGTGCAATCCTAGCCCTCACACTTGGAAGGCTGACGCAGGAGGATTGCAAGTTCAAGGTCAGCCTTGGCTACAAAGTGATACCTTATCTCAAAAAAATAAAAGAAAGAAAGAAAAGTAAGATACATCTATACTGTGGAAAAACACAAAGAAGAAAATTACTATAATCTGAATGAACACCATCTCTGGGTGTATACCTCCCAAACTCTGGCCATGTGTGTGGATGTTTTTACATCACTTTCTGACTTATCATGGACAAGCCTCCCCATGTTAGCATCAACACTTGGCAGACAGCATTTTCAGTGGCTGTGACCTGTCCTAATGAGCACCTGCCATTCCCGTGTCTCTTACCTAGTGTCAGGTGTTTGGATTGCTCCAGTGTGTGGGGTATCCCTAGTCACTGGCTGGCGACCTTGCGCAACCTTGTGGGGATAGTAAAGGCATCTACCTCATGGGATCTACATAAAACACTTAGGATAGCCCCTAGCCATACCAAAGCCTCCAGGAGTGGCCAATGTCATCATGTGGGAAGCAGAGCGAGAGGATGCCCCTTGTTCTGCCCATCATGAGAGGGCTGCCAGTGTGTTTCCCTTTATAGGCAGGAGCTGTTAATCTCCATTGATAGTATGCACACTGAGCTGCATGAGCACAAGCCAGACCCCAGGCCTAGAGCCCAGGTTAGCTGACTGTCCTGTGTCACAATGTCAGAGCTTGTTCTTCAGAAGAGGAAACTGCAACTCACAGGTTCTCAAACAGCCTGCCTGAGCTCACGCAGTCAGAACCAGCTTATTTCTCCCCGGAGCTCCCAAAGCTTTCTGTGGAGCAGACAGATCCCATCTGGCTCCAATTCCACTGTGTGGAGTTAAAGAACTTTAAACAGACCCCTTAGTTCCACACCTGTGAAACAGGAGCAGTCATGGGATGAACACAGATGGTGGGTATGGCTGTGATCTGAGATGATTACAAAAAGGACTCAGCCACAGCCCATCCCATGGTAAGAGCTCAGTCAAATGCTGGTGCTCTAAGGTACTGGCTACCTTGAAGGTACAGCCAAGCTCAGACCAGGGCTTCAGGGGGAGGCAGTCCTCTTTGGGTGTTTTAGGAAGAGGGATCAGGCTCAGTTTCCCAGGTATTCTTGACAGAGACCCCTATGGGGTTAGAAACAGTCTTAGACTGTTTATTTCAATGGCAATATAACTGGAAGTTAATCTCAAGTCAATCCAAGGAAGAACCTAGGAACTTTCTGAGCATAAATGAACAAACTATACAAAGATAGCATGGAATAGCCCAAAAGGCGGTGAGCTCCCTGACTCTGGAAGTATACAAGCCAAGAGTAGGTGCCACTTGGAAGAGGTGTTGGAATGACAGCTCAAGCCCTGAATGGGAAACTGACCCTTTAAGATGCTGTCCAACTCAAAGACTGAGTCTATTTTCAAGTGGCATTAATGGCCTGGAATGAGCCCAACTTCCTGGGCCAATGTCAAGTAGGCTGACAGTATGTAAAGAGAAGAGGACAGAATGGAATGCAGAGAGCTTGGGCTGAAATTGCAGCTCTGTTGCAAGTCACCTGACTTCTGGGGGCTGTTTCCTCCAGGAAGTGGGGAGATGCTAACAGTGTCCACTTGTCAGGTTTCTTAGAGTGCGAAGAGCTAGCCCATATGGCAGGCTAACAGAAAGCCTGGCCTGTGGGTGTTCCATCAAAGGTAGCAGAAGCAATTGTTTGATTCAATGTCTCTCCTCTAAACACAGATTTTGGAACTATCTCAAGGGCTCTACCTGGTGGAAGCTGTGTCTGCAGAGGCAGTGTGGGCTATGAGTTTTGCTCAGGGCTGGGCTGTTCTGCCTGCTCCCTAGTGGCTGGGGGGCTGGGAAGGTCTCCTTGTCCTGATAGGGCCCTCAGCCATCCCAGCCAGCTTCAAGCAAGAGGAACAAGGCCCCCTGGGAGAGAGAAAAAAAAAAAAAAGCATCTCTGGGCCTGGGCTTTTGGGGTTTCATTCCCATTAAAACAGAAACAGGTTTGCAAAGCCAACAAAAGCCCTGGCCTGTCAGACAGCAGCCATCAGATTAAGGAGGATTTATGGTGTGTGCAACTCCTGGGGTGGAGCCAGGGTTCAGGCTGGGAGATAACATCGCTGGAGGCAACCCCCCCATTCCCAGCAGGGCTCTGGGCCCCCCAGCTGGGTGGGACACGTAGACCATCAGAAACCTGAACTTCTGGGCTATTCCTGTCCAGAGCCCTCCTGTGGGAAATGAGGACTGCCATGGGAAAGGGGGAGGGGAGTCTGGTTGGGGAGAGTAGAGCCACCAGACACCTTACCGCATTCCTCAGCCCCTTCAAGTCTGGGGTCTTCAACATGAGAGCATCAAACACCTCCTCTGTCTCCCTCCGCACATACAACAGAACTGAAAAACAATGGGGTGGCTTTTAGAGGTGCGAGGGGAAGGGAGAACCCAGGAGTATCTCAGAAGATGGGGAATCTTAGACAATATTACTTTAACCTAAGGTTCATTTCTGCCAAGTGGCTGTGCCCAGCTAGGACACAGGGCACACTCCACTTGGTCCCCACACCCATTCTTAGACTATCCTCATTTGGGTGGGTTTGAATTCTGCTCTACTGATGTACTAGTTGGTGACCTTGAAAGCAATTTTAACATTCCTGAGTCTCACTTTATTGGATGTAAAATGGGGGGCCCTGTCCCCAACTTCAGAGCTGGCATGGGAATTTCAGACAGTGTGTGGAAACATCAAGTGCATCATGAAGAGAAGCCCAACAGTGATCTAGCACTTGATCCAGCAATACCACTCTTGGGGATATACCCAAAAGACTGTGACACAGGTTATTCCAGAGGCACCTGCACACCCATGTTTATTGTGGCACTATTCACAATAGCCAAGTTATGGAAACAGCCAAGATGCCCCACTACTGACGAATGGATCAAGAAAATGTGGTATCTATACACAATGGAATTTTATGCAGCCATGAAGAAGAACGAAATGTTATCATTCGCTGGTAAATGGATGGAATTGGAGAACATCATTCTGAGTGAGGTTAGCCTGGCCCAAAAGACCATATGTCATATGTGGACATTAGATCAAGAGCAAACACAACAAGGGGATTGGACTTTGAGCACATGATAAAAGCGAGAGCACACAAGGGAGGGGTGAGGATAGGTAAGACACCTAAAAAATTAGCTAGCATTTGTTGCCCTTAACATAGAGAAACTAAAGCAGATACCTTAAAAGCAACTGAGGCCAATAGGAAAATGGGACCAGGAACTAGAGAAAAGGTTAGATCAAAAAGAATTAACCTAGAAGGTAATACACACGCACAGGAAATCAATGTGAGTCAATGCCCTGTATAGCTATCCTTATCTCAACCAGTAAAAACCCTTGTTCCTTCCTATTATTGCTTATACTCTCTCTTCAACAAAATTAGAGATAAGGGCAAAATAGTTTCTGCTGGGTATTGGGGGGCGGAGAGGGAGGGAGAGGAGTGGGTGGTAAGGGAGGGGGTGGGAGCAGGGGGAAGAAATGACCCAAGCCTTGCATACACATATGAATAATAAAACAATAAAAAAAATGAAGAGAAGCCCAAGGTGGCTGCAGCCTGTGATGTCAGCCCTGGTGCTTCTTCCTGATGATTGGCTAGCCCCCCCAGAGCTTGGCCTTAGAGAAAGCCTGTGACTTCACCCAGCACAGTGGGCCTGTTGCCCACACCAGCTGCCTGGGACAGCCATGTCCAAGTAGGATCAAAACTAGTGGATTCCCTCTAGCCCTGTGGTCATCTTTCTAAGCACCTGATGCCCTCCTTATCTCACCCTCAAGTCTTGACCCAAACCCACTCCAAGGAACAAAGCAGCCTATCTTACCTCTCTGGAGGTTGGCTTCCTTGGCCTGTTTGGCAGGTAGAGACTCAAACTCCTCAGCAAGAGGTGAACAGGTACGCTTTAGGGGCAGCCTGTAGGGACAACGGGGAGGGGCTGGTGAAGACCCACCTGGCCTCCAGGGGCCTAGGAGAGCAGAAGGCCACAGGAGGGTAGGTACAATGCAGTGGGACTTTGGATAAAGTAGCAGGTCTAGAGTGGGACTGCTTGTGTTCAAATCCCAGCCCTGCCATATGTTCCTTCAGTGTGGAATGAGGTGCTGAGAAAGTGTAACAACCCTACAGAAAGCTGTCATGAGGCTATAGGAGATAGCACACATTTTTCCCACATGATGGGACACGGCTGGGCCTCAATAAAAGTAGACTATTGGCATCATCAATACTGTTCCTTCCAAAACAGTTAGGTGGGGTGGGAGGAGAAAGTGTTGTGGGGTTTGGAGTAGTATGTCCTTCCTCTGCCATCTCATAGCTGTGTGACTGTGGGCAAGACACATCATGTCATTGAGCCTCAGTTTTCCCATTCACAAAGCAGAGCAATGACCCCTGCTTGCCTTAACTCATCAGGGCTATTGTGAGGTGGTAAGAGCAAAATTTAGGGTTATAGCACCATATGAAAACAGACACCTTTTTTATAGGGAAGAAATTAATAACCAACAACAAACGATATGCACTAAGCACCTTCTCAGTTATCCATACATTCTCTGCCTTCTCCTGTCTGCCTCACCCTCACCAGGTTGCTCCCGTCAGAAGCTCAGGGAGGCCCTGGGCCTGTGTGGGCACAGAGGCTTCAGGCACAGAGGACAGGGTGAGGGCATCTACGGCCTTTAGTGTGAAGGGATGTTAGTGAGAGGGGCAGTCTCTGCTACCTCAAATCTTCCAGCACAGCCCTCTCCCTGCTCTCCCAATCTGTACCCCCCATCTTACAGGCTTTCTCTTTGCCTTTTTACAAGCAGATGTCTCGCCAGAGATTCGCCAAGTTTCCACATAAAGCAAACCCATAAAACCCAGGCAGTTTCAGTGAGAAAGGAGCCTGGGTCCAGCTTGGGGAGTGGGAAGAAACTCAGAGGCAGCACAGGAAAGGCAGGCTGGGGTAGTGCAGGAGATATGGGGCATAGGTGTGGGGGAGCCTTTGTACCTGTCGGAGCTGCCATGTCCTGCCGAGGTGACAGCCTGCAACAAAGAGGAAAAGACATTTCCTATCATGTGCAGGAAGAGGAGAGAAGTCTCCTGGGAGGAACTTCTCCAGAGCATGGCAGGATGGGGGCAGCCATTTCAATGCTGGACAAGTCCCTGATTTGGGGTCCCAAGTCAAAAGGAATCATCCAACCAGGGCTGTGAGTCAGGGACTTGAGGGACAGGAGGTTTGGTTCACATACCAAACACATTGGGACATCAAGGCCTGTTACTGCAAATGTGGGGAGCTGAGCCTCAGGGTAAGGAAACGGCTGGACTTCGAGACATGGGAAACGGACGAGAGACAGGTTCTGGGGCCTTGGCTCTGCTCTTGACCTGTGTGACCCTGTCTGGCAAAGGGGACAAGCACAGTCTCCCTCAAAGGATGGCTGGCTGGGCAGGGAGCAAGATAAAAGATTTGGTTGGCATGTCCTGGCCTGTCAGATGCTTAGTAATGGTTTCCCTGGCTTGACAGATGAAGCAGTTAGTGGTCAAGGGCATGGATCCTGAAGCCAGGTTGCTGAGTGAATCCAAACTGTGTTTTTGGGAGGTTTCTTAACTTCTTAGGCCTCTGCTTCTGGCTCAGGGATCCAAGGAGATATTATTACTGACTGTACAGGGGTGCAGTGAGGTTGTAGCACAACACACAGGAATCAGCACAGTGAAATGAGACAAGTGTTATGGGACAATTACTATCCACCCAGCTCCGAAGCAGCTGCAGTTGAATTTGGGGCTCAGATATCAGAAACCTCCTCTGTATAGCCTCCAAATGTGAACATTGTGGTGGCTATGAAGTCCATTTCCTCATGAGCTTTCTGATTTTCATGGGACAGGCCATTGACGTTATAGGACCACATAGGTATTTCTTAACTCCTAAGACTCCACAGAGGGAGACTAATTTTGACTTTATCAGCAGCAGGACCTGGGAACATCTCAGTTGGCCAGGGGTGGGTGCTCACTGGTGAGGGGTGGGTGCTTTCCACTGGGGGGTGCTCAGGCAGGCCCACCAGGCTAGGACCTTCTCTTGGCTCCCGCCTACCTGGGCCCAACCACTCACCCCTCCAGGGCGCTGCAGGCTGGAAAAGTGCACATTGGGGATGAACAGCACAGGTGGAGTCTCCAAGTCGGCTTCAGGCCGCAGATAGGTGGTCTCATTGCCCCTGAAGCCAGACAGCAGGCAGCCCTTGATGCCTGATGGGAAAAGGAAGCTGCTGTGCCCTGGGTCCCTCCACTCAGGCCCCAGAGGCCCCTTCTGGTCTCCTTCCCTTTGCTTCAGCCCAGCACAGCAGGTCCCAGGCTAATGTTCACTGACCACTATTGCTGGAATCCGGGCACTTGACTTTCCTCCGGAACTGCTTCCGCTCATCATCCCGCATCTTCCTCTCAGCACCCTGAAGGGAATGGGGATCACAAAGGGCCTCAGGAGGGCCTGTCTGCTTCCACAACCACTGCTGCTTTACATCTTACATATGGGCCAAGCTCTGGTTCTGCTTTCTCCCATAGGGGAAACCAGGAAATGGGAAGGTACCAGCACCTGTGCAGTCTGGCCCAACCTGGCCCAGGGTGCATGAGGCAGCACGGGCCAAGAGAGAGATGAAGGAAGATCCACAGGGGCACAGAGAGAGCAATAGGTCGGGGGCTGGTGGTAGAGGGGCAGAAAATAGAAAGAGTCAGATGAACAGAAGAAAAAGAAAGACTAACTTAGAGAAAGAAAGATGGGATGAGATGATACAGATGCACAGCAAGAGAATAGCAACAAAAATGCAGAGATCGAGGCAGATGCATAGAGAGAAAGACAAAGGAGGAACACAGGCGAGAGACATCAGAGGAGGGACAAATACACCCAGAGAGGTAAGAAGCTGGGGCCAGTCCTCCTCCCTCCCCAACCCAGTAGGGAGCTGCGCACCCTCACCCACCTTATCACAGAAGATCTTGATCTGGCAGACTGCACGGTGTACCAGATGCTCAGCACCTGAGCCACAGTCATAGGTGTCAATTTGCAGGTTCAGGGGGACACCCTTCACCCCCTTCTGTGAGGAGAAGTCTGTGCTCAGGCAGTTGACTCCAATGAACACCTGGGGACGAAATGCGGAGCTGGGCAAGTGGCCTGCCCAGGTCAGTGTGGCTGGTGAGCACTCTTCAACTTCCCAGGGTCTTTGGAGGCAACATCACCACCTCCCTTTTTTTTATTATTATTATTCATATGTGCACACAAGGCTTGGGTCATTTCTCCCCCCTGCCCCCACCCCTCCCTTACCACCCACTCCGCCCCCTCCCTCTCCCCCCACCCCCTCAATACCCAGCAGAAACTATTTTGCCCTTATTTCTAATTTTGTTACCACCTCCCTCTTACAGGTGGGAAAGAGATGGCCAAGAGGTGGGGCAGTGCTCCAGAGGCAGCACAGCAGCATGTGAGGGAGCTGGGTTTGCATCACACTCAGAGTCCAGGCCGGCACAGTCCCACTGGCTGGCCATGGGTGGCCCACCCTGGAAGGGGTACTAAGTCCTTTAGAGACTGAAAATCCAAAGCCTTATTTTCCTGCGACACAGAGTAAGTTAGGGACATGACTGTCTTGCTGGCCCAGGGACTCAGAGATCAACATGAAGCCTCTCTATGCCTAGCCACCAGCTCCAGCAGTGGTTCTTTCTGCTCATTGAGTGCACCCCCCGCCCCTTGCAGTGAGCCATCTGGTCACCTCCATCCTACAGTTGTGGACTCTGAGCAGGGACAGTAGTGTCAATGTTCCCCAGGGAGTCAGAAAAGTGAGAGTGGATATGGGCCACCTGGACCTGTGGTGGGAAGCTGGGCTCTGCTACTCACTAGCCTGTGGCTTTGAACAAGTTCTGTGCCCTCCCTGAGCCTGCTTTCTTGTCTACAGCATGAGTGTAATTAAGCCTCCTGTGGCTGTGACTCGTGCTAGCATGCAGTGGCTGGTCTGCCTGCTATGATCATTGTGAGTGGACAGCTGCAAGTCTCTACCAAAACCCTGTACCCTCCTGGGGCAGCCTGGGGACAGTCTCAGCAGGGTTAGCACTGGCTGACTATCTGCCTGGTCACTATCTACCTGTCAGCTCCTTGGGCTCAGGGCTAGTCCCACCCAAGGCTGGTCTGGTCTTTGGGACTTTTCTCTTGGAAATGGCCCTGACCTGAATGGTAGGATTGGAGTGGGGACCTGAGTAGACCCCCATTCTAGCCAGGCCCCAGGCACATGCCAGACATTCCTCCCTTCAGCCAGCTCAGCCTATTGCAGCCCCCACCCAGCTCTCACTGAGAGACCCAGGCCCGGGGCAGCTGAAGCTGTGAGAAAATCCCACCGAAACCAGCTCTCCCTTCCCACGAAACTTGCCGGCCCCTCCTGCAGCCCCCGGCTCTGTTTGAATAATAACCGCTCCAGCTTTGAGCCTCCCTTTGTTTCCAGAAGTCCTTCCCTTCCTGATTCTCTGTAGTCTGCTTGTCCCTCAAAGTGAGCAGGGGCCAGGTCAGCTCCCAGCCTGCCCAGGCCAGAGATGTTTTGGACATATGTAGATCCAGCTCTGGTAGTGAGGTAAGCCTGGCCCAGGGCAGGGAAGGATGTACCCAAGGTCACCCAGCCACAGACATGTATCCTCCCCCCCAGCCCCCATGATGCCTGCTCTCCAAACTGAATCAAGACACAGAGAAGCTGTGGTATGTGCCAACCAGGTGGTTGTGCGGGACTGAGGCTGGAAGGTCAATGGCTTATGCTGGCCTAAAGAAAACCACTGGGGCTTAGTCTCCTTGGCTTCTCTCCTGGGCCCAGAGGGTCTGTTGTATTCTGGTCACTTAGACACATGTGATTTTGTAGAATCCTCACTCCAACTCAGCAGGCAGATCGGTGTTCTGCCCATGGGCTCTGAGAAGTGAGGGCCTGGGACAGAGTCCTTACCAACCAGACTCCAAGCATTAATGCAAACCAAACTGGCCCGGAAGTTGCATGCCTTCGGGGTCTCTGTGTGGCCTTGTACCAGGCTGTTTCCCAACTAGGAAGTGGGTGAGTTGGTCAGATACCCACAGCCACCACGTATGCGCCAGGCCTGTGTGCTATTGTTTCCCTATCTCTCCTGATGCTCACCACACCCAGTTGGTGGGTGCTATGACCACATTGTTATCTTACAGCCAAGACACTGAGGCTCAGAGGGACAGTCACACAGTTGGCAAATGGAAGGGTTGGGTTTGGACCTAGCCTGTCTGGTCAGAGCCGAGCTTCTGATCACTCTGGATGCTGCCTCCTTATCAGGGACCTCATCATAGCCAACACCACAATTGTGGGTATAAGCAAACCTCTCCCCAGGCCAGGGGTTTCTGGGGCCCTGTTCCATCCCTCCAGCATCCCACACTGACCTTGGCCTCCTCATTGACATTCCACATGAAGGACAGAGCATTGTAGGCCACCTCCTCGATGTGCTGCACAGTATTGAAGTTCTCTTTGCAGTCCGCTGAAAGCCCAGGAGACCAGGAGAATCAGAAGGGAGGGGACCGGGGCACAGTGTGGAGGGGCATTTGGAGCCTGCACATGCCTCCCCTCCCCCAGGACCTCGTTCTAGTTCAGGAGGAAGGGGGAATATTGTGGCTTAAGTTGCAAAGGGGAAGATGGGTCCACCCTGGAAGCAGACTTGCCTGAAGCCCTAGCGTGAGTCCCAGGCTCTGCCCGCAGGGCCAGGCCCGTAGTGTTTCAGGTGGAGGCTATACTTCTCATGGGGATCATGAAGTAGCTCTCCCAGGTGGAGAGGCAGCAGCAGTACAGTAGTAATAGCAGCATCGGTGGTAGCGAGAGCAGTAGCAAATGGTAATGAACCACCATTTCTTAAGCACTTCATACAGCAAGCTCTCAGTTACTACTCACAACTCTGCTCTGAGTACTTAGCTTTCACATGAGGAAAATGAAACTCAGCGAGGTTTGGTTACTTGCCCAAGGTCACACAGCTAACAAAAAGGAGAGCAAGGCTGGAGTGCAGGACTCTCCAGCTCTGGAATCCATGCTCCTAACACTCTGCTGGCCAGCCTCTAAGTCACTGAGAAGACCTTAATTTGTCCTACATGCACCAGCATGCATGGCCCCAAGCAGAAATCAGCACTGCTGGTGAGTAGGCAAGGTAACTGGCTTTGTTCTGCCTGACAGTTGAACGAACTGAGTCTCAGAAAGGGAAGGCAACATAGGTCACACAGCCAGGAAGGGCAGGATGGAGCCATAACCCAGACTGTGCCAGAGACAGAATAGCATCTGTAGGGAACATGCCCTCTCCTACACTGATGGAGCCTGTGGTCCCAGCCCCAGTGCGGAGCTGCCCACACTGGGCCTCCAACTGCCCCAGCCACCACTGCCACCATACCACGGCAGTTCCAAAAGCCATGTCCCCCATGGGGCAGACATCTCAGGCCTATCCATCAGATGCTTCTGCAGTTCCCAGGCCTTTTACCACAAAGCAAAGCAGAAGACATCTGCTGCTTCTACTCCACAGAGGCCAATCCACACGCCCAGCATGTCTGACATAGAGAGAGGTGGGGGTTAGGGAAGGGGTGCATCAAGAAATAATCCTGTCAGGGGGTTCTCTCCTCACCCACATCGATGACCCGCTGCTTGGCCGTGGGCTGCCGGGAGTGCCAATGCTTCCAGAACCGCAGCTGTTCCACTGGGACCTTCTCATTGTCAAACACGACCATCACCACACTCTGCAAGCCAGCAGCCATGTCACCCTAGCCTGAGGAGCCCCCAGTTCCAAGTCCCTTCCCAGAGCCTGGCCTAGTGGCCCTGCCCTTCTGCTTCCTGTTTCCCCCACCCATGGCCATGGGCAGTTATCCAACAGCTTTTCCCTGGGGCTCCCTAGCTGGCGCAATCAGCAGGTGCGTCTCTCCCACCCCCCTTCTCAAGTTTCTACAAGGATAACACACCTTGACTTTGTTGGAGGATAGGGCAAGGCCTTTGCCACCTGCTGGGGTGCGCAGGGTAACAGGATAGAACTGGCCCTTGTTGAGGTAGGCCATGGGCGACTCCCCTGACTTGATGTGAATGGCCTTGGGGGAGCCCAGGGTGTACTCAAAGTCACTGTGGGGAGGAAAGGACAGTGAGGCAGGCTCCAGGCACCAGTGTCCCAGGGCAGTGGGGCAGAAGCCTGAAGGTTTGTCACAGACTTGCTTAGTGACCTTCTAATCTCTTCGCTCTCCTGGGCTTTACTTTCCACATTTTGGGCTTCTATTTAATGGCTTTGCTGAGCCACAATCCTGATGAAAATCGGAGGGATGTCTTAGGTGCAAAGCCATAGGGGGCAAAGGACAACAGAGCCTGTTTCCTAACAGGGTGCTAGGCATGGAGCTCCTGGACACCACACAGGAGAGGATGTAGAAGTCATTCTCCCTCCTTTTATCTACTTTTGCTCCCTTTTAAAAAAAATCCATTGATCATGCCTGCTATATTCTGGGAACAGTGTGAGGCTCTGCCTGCATCTCCCTGCCCACTGTCCAAGTAGCCAAGGGTCTAGAGGGACAAAGTTACCTCTTGAGTGTAGAGCAGTCCTCTAGACATGGGGGTTCTGGAGATGTTTTCAGGATATCTGGGAAGAGCAGCGACTGCAGAGAAACACAGTCCCAAGAGAATAAATGACTATGTTCAGTCTGTAGGGTCCTCAGCCCAGTACTGTGCATAAAACCATGCAGGTTGTGCAGTGCACAATTTGGACAACAGTACGTTATCCCTGTCTCAGTGCTAGGACTCTTTCTCCCGTGGAATGCAAAGGTCTGACCTTCTCGCCACCTTCTCTCCTTCAGGGTATGCACAGACACAGCCAGGGGTGCTGTGAGGGTGGGCCCTCACCTCCTGTGGATCATCCTTGAAGGTGCTGTCTGGCTGCCAGCGCTGTGTGGGTGGCACTCCATGAATGCTCTCAAACAAGGAGTTGAGGGAGCTGTTGTCATACATATCGCTGGTGGGCAAGAGGTAGCTGTCCACAGAGCTGGCTTCTAGTTTGCTGGGGGCTGGAGGGAGGGGTGCTGCCTTGCCAGGGGTAGGCCCGGCTGCCTCCAGGCTCATCAGGGTATTCTTCTTGAGCAGGTCTGGGTAGTCTGGGCTTCCAGACACGTTCTCTGTCAGGAATTTCATGAGATGCGTGGGGCTTTCGAGCGGGGCAAGGTCCATCTCGTACTCCATGCCATGATAGTGCCTGGGAGAGAGGTGCAGTGAGAGGGCCTCTTCTCTCAGGAAGGAGGGGTCCTTGGCTGGAGGGAGGGTGACTGTTACATGACTAATGCATTGACTCCCTTCTATCCCATGTAAGGTTTCTGCCTTCCCAGCACCCAAGAAGCAAGATTCTGCACAGGCCAGTGTGTCAAAGGGAGGAGAGGTGAGGGATGTGGGGAATATAAGCACAGACAGGCTTGGGGTTGAAGAGGAAATGTCAGCTTTATTCATATAAAACTCACTAATTTAAAAAACTGAGTTTAATCATTTATTTCTTAGCCAGAGTCAAATGTCCCTGTGTCAAAACATCTCCATTTCAAAACAACTGTACTGAGTCATCCTGAGGGGAGTATATGAAAGGGATTGGTACACCTGTGATACAGTTAATATATGTTAGGAAAAAGTCTGGAAGGGTGTACTCCAAACTGGTAAGAGAGACAGGGGCATATGATTGCAGGCAAATTTTACTTTACTTTATATAGTTCCACAGAGTTGAATCTTTTGTGCAAAGCAAGTATTGCTTTTATAATCAGAAGAGTCACTAACACTTGTAGGATTAGTTTCTAGAAAGGACCCAGGTATGCAGGGCAGTGCAAGGGAGTAGCCCACACCCATGGTGCTTACATTGGCCCCACGAGGAGCTGCAATGCCACTGTCAGTGGTTTGGATTTTCCAGAAGTCCCAGCAGAGGCCCTAACCAGTCATCTCTGAGAGATCCCCAATGGCCAGGAAGCAGGAGGTGGAGAGAGGGGCAAAGTCCCCTGCTACCGATCTGGCTATGTGCACAGTCTGGGCTACTTTCTATGAGGAAAGGAACACTGGTGCCCTGAGGCACTGGTGCCAGGTAGAGGCCAAAGAAGTCCAGAAAGCAGATGTCCCCTCCACCAAGGACAGCCCAGTTCTCCCTCCCCAAAAGCTGCAGGAAGGAGGGTTTGGAGCTGGGAGAGAAAAGCTGCCTCCAGGGCTTTTCCACTAATGTGGCTTTGAAGTTTGTTTTCAGTTACATGGCCTGCAGGTATCTGGGGAGTGTGTGTGTGTGTGTGTGTGTGTGTGTGTGTGTGTGTGTGTACGCGTGTTTTGTGTGTGTGTGTGTGTGTGTGTGTATGCGTGTTTTCCGTCCAGCAAAGTGTCTATGATTTCGTGGCTCATGGCTTTTTTGCCTTCACTAGGTCCTTCAAAAACATTTTTAAATATTTTATACAATTGCATTGGCATAAAGACAGACTGAATCTAGGCTTGATCAATGTTTAATATTAATTAATATGTATTAATTCTTTTCATCTGATTTTCAAAGAAATTAAAACACTTTCCTGAACCCCTATAGGTACAGCATTGGTGAGTCAGCTGTGCTAAGGAGGTTGGGTGGGGGAGAGTGGGAGGGAGAGGCAGAACAGGCACAGTGAGCCTTACCTCTTTCCTTGGTCACTCCGACCGCCCGTGCTAGAGGACAGGATCCGCTTCTCCTTGGGGCCCTAAGAGGACAAAAAGAAGGATTTATGCAGGGTCCTTGGCTAAGACCTGGTTGTTAAGAGTCTCAGCCTCTCCTGTGGCCCCAGCCAGGCCCTGGAGCACAGGGAGAAAACTCTCAGATCCTTTAGGTTGGAAGAGGTACCCTGAGCTTAGCAGTTAAGAAGCGTGAAATTTGGAGCTGGGCGGGTCTGGCTTACATTCCACTTTACTGCTTAAAAGTGCTATGTGACTTTGGGTAAATGACTGTACCTCTCTGAGACTCAGGTTCTTCAAATGTCAAGTAGGGAATTATAGAACCACCTACTTCAAGGAGATTATGAAGACTTATTAATAAAAACAATACTTTTTAAGAGAGAGTATTTCCTATATGCTAGTCCTTATACTAAACTTCTATTCTGTAGCTTAGCCCTCTTGGCCACTGAGATATCCACAGATATCATCACTATCACATGGATGAGGACACTGCAGCCAGAAAGACTCATCTTGGTGCTTAAGAGCACAGACTCCACATCCAGATAACTTGGTTCAGTTCCTAGACCTCCCACATACTGGCTGTGTGGCCTTTCTGTCTCATTCCCTTATCTGTAAAATCAGTGAGAGGAACTCCAGCCTCAGGGATCATGGCGGATCCTCAAAACAGCACTTGGCTGTGAAGAGTGGGCTATAGAAATGTAGCCTCCATGGCTGTAATTATAACATCACTCTGTCTTAGAACATCCCACTTCACCTGTCCCCAAGACTCCAACCCGCGACTCTAACTCAGTCTAAGTGACTCTAAAGCCTGGGCTCCTAATCACAGGCCAAGAGAGAGGACAAGGGAGGGACTTGGCATCTAGCAAGCAGCAGCCAGTGGTCACTTTGCACTGCATTGCTCAGAGTCATAATGCCAGTTTGTGGCACAATGAGGCCTCAGGCTCCCAAGCAGGTGCTCTGGCCATTCTGCCAGGCCTGTCCCTCACCACACACAGGGCTGCTCTGAGCCCAGAGTGTTCTATGCCACCAAGATACCACTGCACAGATAACAGGGCAGCTGTCACTGACAGAGCTGGGCCCCAATGTTCCAGCATTGAAAACAGCCTCTTGCTTGAGAGAGGTGATGCCAGGTTTTAGTTTACGGTCCAATCTCAACCTATAAATCCCAGGTTATGGTTCAAACCCAGACGGAGAATTCTGGCTCCCCCCACAGCCCTGAGCCTCTCCATTAACCTGTTCTGGAAGCTCTCAGTAGGCTGCCAGATCGCCGGGATAGGATGAGGACCAAAGCCAGAGGACTCGCCTTCCTTCTCTCAGTTGGGAGGATAAAACGCCTCTTGCACTAGTAAGCTTGAGGGCTGTGTACAAGGTGGCTCTGAATCAAGTCCACTTATCTCAACAAATCTAGCAAAGTCTCTTGGGGCAACCCCCTCCCACCAAGGGATAGTAAGTAAATTGCTGTCTTGTGTCCATTCAGATTGATGTAGGGCTTCCTGGAGCCTAGGATGACAAACATGCTGTAGCCTCACGTGCTCTCTGTGAGAATGCAGGCTGTAATCCATTAGCAATGTCTGGCACAGGCCCTGGAGGTGGTGGGGTGCTCTGTGTCCATATTTGTGACTGCTGACTGAATTAAGTCTTTCTTATCAGAGATGGGAGGGCCTAATTCCTGTGCTCAGGAACCAACCATCTCCCAGAGTTAAGACCAAGGCCCTAGAAATATTTAGAGAACAATAAAAGACAGTATGGTGGTAGAGATGCGAAGGACAGTAAGACACTCAAAAGAGAGACGGGATGTGGCAGAATGGTGTCCTAGAGAAGGTGAGCTTTGGGAAGGTCCCTAAAAAAAGGGATGAGTTAAAGAACAAAGGGGTGGTGGGGCTGGAACAGGCCAGTGGGGGTGGCAGGGAGGCTGGCAGAAAGGACAGTAGGTTGGGGTATTACTATGATGGCGTGCACTTGGCCAAGCCAAGGGCCAAGTCAGGCATCCATCCTACTGATGTGTGCTGTGCACTGGGTAGCAAACTGTATGGTGATAGGGACTCAGTAATGATCACAATGTGCCCCTGCCCTCTAAGAGCTTGGTCTTGTGGGGAGATGGAGAAATCAATGAGCATACAGCAAGTTTCTAAGGATAGAGGAAGGAGAAGGACAGTGGCTGATGGGGGTGCCTTCAGGAATCACAGAATGGAGACCTAAGAAAGCCTCCCCTCCTCCCATAAAAGGATAAAATGAAATTTAAGCTGAGACACAGATAGAGAGTAGGGCTCAGTCAGGAAAAAGGGAAGGAGCCAGGAAAGGAAAAGAGCATGTGAAGAGGCTCAGAGGTGAGAGGCTGGGGATGGTCACAGTGGGCTGCTGAGCCCTGAGGACTGAAAGTAGAGTGGGAGGGGCGTGTCAGAGGCAGCGAAGGTACCATGTAGTAATCATAGAGGAAGCCCAGGGCCGCAGCACTGTCATCGTCTCCATTGACCCTCATCATGGCCTTGGTGGCAGCTGTCAAGGGGTTTTCCAGGTACGTCTTCCAGGCCTCATCCTCATTCGTGTAGGGAAACTTCTGAAAGTTGATTGCATCATTCTTTAGCAACCTCATAGACCTGAAACTGAAGGCAAGTAAAGAGGGTCACATTTAGCTGTCCCAGAGGAAGGTCCCTGAACTAGCAGCCTCAGGCCAATACCCAGGAAATGAGAGTTCCCAGCTCTGGAAACTTGAAGCTGGCTCTTCTGCCACCATTAGGCAGCGTGAGACAGTGACCAGACATGAGCTCAGGAACTAGTCAGTTCCAAGTGCTGCCAGGTAGAAGCTGCATACCTGGAGCCTTGGTTCCCAAGCCTACAACATGAGACTGTAAAGCCAACTTTGGCAGGCCACAGAGAGGATTTAATAAAATGCCTCCATGACAGACACTTATTCAACAGGGTGGGAAATGACAACGACACTTTGCAAAGAATGAGACTTCCAGATAACCCTGCATGCGTTCTCAGGGTTGTCCTCAGGAGGGTGAAAAGGCTCCAAAGGCCTCAGGGCACCATGAGTCAGGGAGAAACTGGCAAATGGCAGGGAGCAGCACAGCAAGGAAGCCACAGCAGAGCCTGGTCTTGGGAAGTGACATTTCAGACCACATGGATTGTAGGGTCTTGAGCAGCTGCTCACATGCCACAAAGTGGAGCTGAATGCTGTAAGGCACATGAAGGCAGGAGGGCCTGGGCATGGTGCCAAGAAGCCTGGTTAAATATAAGGCATTGTAGTCAAGACACAACCCACATGGGCTCAAAGGAAAGACTTTATGGAGGAGGCAACATTTTACTTGGGGACAGTCAGCACTGGGAATTATTTCATTCAGAAATGAGGGACAGGAGGAGCAGGAATAAGGACATAAAATAGAAAGATGATATAAAAATAATATCTACATTGAGTATTGACCATGTTTTAGGCATTGAGCTAAGTATTTTTCATGAATCATCATCACACGGAATTCTCAACAATCTTGTTAAGGCAGCTACTGTTATTGTTTCTATTTTATAGTGGAGGAAACTGAAACTCAGAAAAATGGAGGGAGTTGCACAGGGTCCCAGTAAGGGAATGGCCCAGAGCAGGTCTAGGGTTGGCAAGGAATGCTATAGTTCTTGATCGTGTTTTTAGACATGAGCTGTGTGACGTGGTGGGATTGTTAAAATGCCATTGCTGGGCCCACCAGCAGAGTTTCTGATTCCCTCAGTCTGAGGCAGCTGAAAATTTGCATTTCTAGCAACTTCCATGATTTCGCTGCTGCTGCTAGAAGCCTGGAACCACACTTTGAGCTCCCAGGTAAGACACACGTTCTTAAGTCATGAGTGGGGTTCTAGTCATGTTTGTTCTAGAGCAGAGTATATGGAGGAGGTGGTGAGAGGATCAGAGATGAAGTGGGCACTCCCTGGTCTAATGATGCCCCAAAGCCTGCCTTTGTACATAGGCCTGACTCACTCGCCCATTAGGGACATTAGAACAATGCCAGCTGCCATTTACCGTGACATTTAACACTCTCCATTCATTAGCTCTGCTCCTTACAAGATATGACAAGGTGAGGATCGTGTGCTGAAACTTAAGAGACTCAGAGAGGACAAGAAAATGCCCAAGGTCACCCAGCAAGTCCACAACACAAGCAGGGTTTAAACTTAGCCTGTCCAGCACCAAAGTCATAGGCTTTCCACTGAGCCACACTGCTCTGTATGACAAGGGAGCATCTCAGCACTGGAGTTTCAGGAACCTTCACTAGGGAAGCTGCAGGAAATGCCCACCTGCTACCTGGTGATTCTAGCTCCTATTCTCCCACTCAGTAGAAACAGCAGCCAAACTAGACATAAACAGACAGTGGGGGGCAGGGGGAAGGGAAGCACTCTCCAGCACAGTATCCCCATCCCACTGGGCCCCAGGGTGTGGTATACAAGGCTCTGAGGGAGACAGGAGCTGTCACACAGGAAAGAGAAATTACAGAAACCTGCCTGCTTTAGGGGCACAGAAAGGAGGCACACCCCAAGTTTCTGCTGCTATAAATCAAGGAGTCTCAAGACAGAGAGGTGAGAAGAGGCCCCTCCTAGCTGCCCTGGGCCCAAATCTAGAGGAACTCACTGAAAAAGCCCAGGGTGGCTGCCCCCACTCCCATTCAGCCCTGGGCTGAAGGGAACTCCCAAACTAAGGAGACCTGGGAAAAGCAGAGGGGTGCTTGATGGACCCAACCTGTCCCCCACCCCTCACTGGTCAATAAGGACTTCCAGAGCTCAGCACTCTTTGTCATTTGTAAACAAGGTTAATAAAAGTACCCACCCGACAGGATCATTAGCACTTGAAAAACGCTTAGAGCTGTGCGCGGCACTAAAGAATGCTTAATACCCATGCCACTGCTACGCTCCAGGCCTGCTCGGAGCTGGACACCAGGGCTACAGAGTGTCCCAAGACATGACCAATAGTAACAGGGTCCCGATCCACTCGTGGGTGGAATGATTGTTAGTCAGCTCTGATGGGCTGTCAGTTACCTGACCCTTTCAAAAAAAAAAAAGAAGAAGAAGAAAGAAACTTTAGAAAGATAGAATGCTGCTACCTTCACCATTAAAAGTCATTTCCTGCTACTAGGGCAGACAAGATGCCAACAGTTTTTGCCTGGCATCTCATTTACCACACACAATGGCTCTGAGAAATAGGAATTTTCTTATAGAGGGGAAATTGAGACTCAAACAAGTGATATCCTCTTGCAATTGCTTTAAGTGGGGTTGGGAGGGGGTTGAGGGGGAGAGACAATGGGAGCAATGTAACTAATGTACAACCTAAGTCTAATTAGAAGTGTCACTATGACCCCGTATCATGAATATATCCTAATAAAAATTTAAAAAATAAACACACAATATCATCTACTGAAAGTCACTCAGCCAGTAAGTGATGAAGGCTTAACTTGAACTTGGGCTTGTTGAACTCCTGGGCTAGCCTTCTTTCTAGATGTCTTTCCTAGTCTGGAAGTTTCCCTCCTCTGGAATATACCGAATTAATTCTCTGCTGCAAGGCAGAAAGGAATTTCTCACCCACACCAGGCAGGAGGGACTGAGTAGGAAGGCAAGATGATGAATGGAAGTTTCTGGTGAGGAGCTGGGAGCCCTGGAGTCCTGCTCCCCACGCCTGCTCATGCTACCAGTCAACCTCATGTTCCAAGACTAAGCTCTTAACTTCCACAAAGTCTTGACTATGGATAATGTTAGCCTTGAATTGTGAGTCAAATCCTGAAATCCAAGATCCTTTGGATCCTTCTCCTCTGAAAGATTGGAATGAGGGTTGAGGACTAGTGGAGGAGACAGAAAAAAAGTCCCAGGAGCTGGGACTGATACAAGATGAATGTGGAAATGGTTTCAAGAAGGAATTCGAGGGAAACTAGGTGCTCCTCCTATGAGGTCACCTTCTAGGGCCTACACAAAGTCTCTGTTGGTGTCCATGTCCTCGATGGAACTCCGGAGCCATCAGAAGATGAAAGGGGAATGAGAGGGAGGAAGGAGAGAGGGCATAGCCTTGGGCAGCCTCTCTGACCTCAGCTTTACTGGGCACAGGGACAGAATCTGATGCACCATGGGAGGAAGCAGCACCTGGGTCAGAGCCCTGGGTTTGGCAGCTGTGTCCTTGAGTAAGGCACTAATTCTTCTCAGCCTCCTTCCTCATCTGTTAAATGGGTCTATTGAGTGTCTTCTGCATGCCAGTCAGGGACTCTTCTAGGTACTGGGAAATCAGCCAAGAACAAGATAGATAAGGCTTTGCTCCCATGAAACTTACAGTCTAATTGGAGTAGACAGACTATAAACGAGTAGGTAAATGAGTTAATTTTTTAGTGATAAGTGCTGTGAAGAAAATTAGAACACAGTAATGTAATGGGGAGTCAGTAGGGGTGGCTACTTTATAGTAGAGTTAATTTCTTTGTTTATTCGGAAAATTAAGTGCATTAATGTAAGAAATGTGTTTAGCCCAGAGCCTGCTAGAAATTATCGTCAGTAAATAATGGCCATCATCACCATCATCATTCCAGAATCCAAAATGAGAGTAAAGGGGAGACTGCTGGAGAGTCTTAAATTATCACCCCCTCCAGACTCATGCCTGTGAACCAGGTTCTATATCAAAACCAAAAGAGATAGTATAATAACCCCTTGCATTGACTTTCATATTCATTATCTCATGGAGCCTCCCTAACATACACAGTGTGTTATTATTCCTACTTTACATTCCCAGAAATAGGCAATGAGACATTAGATGACCTGGGATCTGTCCTGGGAACTCCATGAATAGTCACTTTTCCACCAGTGATGTAGGGGCAAGGAAAAACCAAAAAAACCTGCACGGCATCATCTATCATCTTAACATTTATCAGAGGCAGTAATGATTGTGGGCCAGATCCTGTTCTAAGAGAGTAAGGCAACAAGGTTGTCTCTGCTGTCATGGAGGATGCATTTCACTGGCAGCAAGACAGACACAACGACAAAACAAACCACTACCACCAACATCACCAATATCAGATAGGTAAAGAAGGCTATGAAGGAAAAACTGAAGGACCTCTGAGTTGCTGGGGCCCTGGGATGGATGCTGGTTGAGAAGAGAGGTGGAGGGGAAGAGGGAGAATGGAGATGGATGGGAATGAAAGGCAAGATCAAAGCTCCCAGAGCTTGTCTGCCTACTGTGTGCCAGGTATGAGCCATATGTTTTGCATATGACACCTTGCTCAAGAAAGGCCAGCCCACTGAGGAGGAAACTCACATGGAGATTTGATAATCCCTTGTGTTTGCATAGCACATTATTTTTTTTTAGCATATATGTCTCTGTCACATACCTGTCATACCTGAGATCTTGCAATGCCTGTGTAACATAGGGAGGGAATATATGACTGTCCCCATTGTTAGCAGGAAAAACAGCTGTGGACAGGGCCATTGACTTACCTCAGGCAACCCAACTGATATCTTGAGATATTGAGCCTAGAACCTGAGGCCTCTGGCTCCCACCATCAAGAACCTTCACAAAGCCACCTCCTCAGAGCCTCCTTCAATTTGGGAGAGATGGAAATAAGACCAAGAGAGCACTCAGGGTATAGCTGCTAGGCCT